TCTTTTGTCATTTAACAAATTATAACTAAAAAATATGAAAAAAAAAATTAATGAAGATACTTCTTATTGTATAGACTTTAAAATTATTTTATTTGAATTTTAAAAAAAGGGAGGGAGGGATGGAGAGGAGGGGAGGGAAGGGAAAAGTACTTTCGATGATTAAAAAAATATATAAGATATTGTAAAATTAAAAAAAAAGGGGGAAAAAAAATTAATGAAAACTTGAAATATAAAAAGTGAAATGCTATCATTTTTAGTATCTCGTATGTAAATGATATTATTTCATGATGACAAGTTTTCCCCCCCCTCTCTCTCTCTCTCTCTCTCACTCTCTTTAAGTAAAAGTAGAAAGATGGACAGATAAAAGGGACAAGAGTTTTTTTTTATAATATATAATATAAATTACAGTTTAATAATTATTTTTCTAAAAAAAAAATCATATATAGAACGTGTTATTAGCGATATTTATATATTTTTTCTAATAATTTAAGTTTAAAAAAATAATAATGATAATAAATCGCGGAAGAAAAGGTTAATAATGTAAAATTATCAATTTTTTTCTTTTTAAAAATTGAATTTTTCTTTGAAATTTGATTTTAAACTAATATTTAACTTTCGAATTTAAAAAAAAAAAAAAGGGAAAGTAATTTTCTGGAAATAAATAGAATTACAAAAAAAAATAAAAATAAAAAATAAGAAGATGATGAGAAACGCTTATTATTATTGAATCGTCGTGGTCAGAATAAAAAAAAAAAAAACAAAACAAAATTATTATTATTATTATTATTATTATTATTATTTTTTCGTTATTATTTTTTTTATCAATCATTAAATTGAATATCTGACCCTTAAAAATCAATTTTTATATATATATATATATTTTTAGCTAAACAAACAAAAAAAATAACACAATGAGATTTATTATAAAATAATATACAATAGAAAAATAGTTTATATATATTTAATAAAGTACGATTTATTTTATATATAAAAAATACTAAATTATTTTTTTTTTTTTTTAAATCTCGATTTCGAAAAATTTTCATTTAGAAAAAAAAAAAAAAAAAATTAGTTTTAAAATTGAGGCATTTTCTATTTATATAAAAATTCTATAATGAATTAAATGTAAAGAAAAAAAAAAGTACACGACACAACTTGAAAGATTTGAAAAGTTTTTTTTTTTTCTAAAAAGGTTTTTAACCAAATTAAATTAAAATTTTTGATCTTATTCTTCCCCCCCCTTCCTCCCCATTTAGTTCGTTTTTTTTTTTTTTTTTATTTACTTCACTTGTAGTTTATTAATATAAATAAAATTTTTCTTTTAAGGGGAGATTTAATTTTAAAAAATTAAACAAAATAAAAATGTCTTTTAATTTTTTTTTTTTTTTTTATAAAAAATAATAAAATGTCGGATAGTAAATAAATTTAAAAGAAAAAAAATAAGTGAGTTAGTTTACGTAATTTTATTTAAACATTTGCTAAATTTAAAAGAAAGATTTATTATTATTATTATTATTATTATTATTATAAAAAGTTTGTTTTATTATAACAAATTCACCCCGTAGGATTTGAAAAAAAACACACACGCCATCATCATCATCATCATCATGAAATGATTTTAAATACTTTTTCTTATTTTTAATTCTTTCTAATTTTTTTCATTAAAACCGTGTGTGTGTGTGCGTGTGCGCGTGTTTTTTAAAACTTCTCTTTGCTCTATTTATTTTAATTTATTGTTGAAATTTTTAACAACAGTAAAAAAAAAAAAAAATTTGCAACCTGGGAAATTAGAAAAGGTAAAACTTATGTTTGTTACTTAAAATTTTTTAAATTATAATTTTTTTTTTTTTTAAATTAAACATTCTTAATTTAAATTACACCATAAATGCAAATTTAATTCGCTTTAATAAAAAATTAATATTTATTAAAATTTATAATATTCATCAAGAAATTTTTTTTTTTTTTTAAATGAGAAAATAATACAATTTTTTTCAAAAACTATTATAAACCATTTAATATCTGAATTTATTTTTTTTTGTCTTTTTTTATCGGGGGAGGGAGGGGAGGGGGGGGTAAAAAATTAGATTTTTTGTTGCTATAAACAAATAAATAAATAAAAATAATGTCAAAAAATTTTTTTATTAAACTAAGTAAATAAACAAAAAAAAAAAAATACATGAAAGGTTTTTAGTGTGATAATTATTAATTTTTTCAGTTTACAAAGTTTATCAATTTAAAAACTTGTAAACAAATATAATTAAAAGTTAAAATACTTTTTTTTTTTTTTTTTGATGGTAATAATAATAATAATAATATAAAATTTAAAAAAAAATTGCAATTTATATTCATCCTCCAAGCAGTTTTTTTTTTTTTTTTTTTTTTTTTCTATAAGTTTTATTATTTAGGGAGGTTTTCTTTTGTTTTAAAGAATAACAAAAAAAAAAAAAAAGGTCACACATTTTCCCACCGTAAATAAAAATAAAAAGGGGGTTGGGCAAGAAAATAACGATAATTAAATAAATTTTTTATTTATTTGTTTAAAATATTTATTTCTTTTGGTGAGGTTATATTGAAAAAAATTTGTTAAAAATTTGTGTCATGTTCATTTAAATTATTTTTTTGTTTTGTTTTTTTTCGAGTTTAAAATACCGGGTAGGAAAATGAAATTAATTTTTAATTATATAATTATTGTAAAAAATAATTTTTTACACGACAAATAAAAATGAAATCCATTCATTTTTCTTATTTATTAAAACATATTTAATTCACACTAAATGTGCGTATTCTTTAAATAAAAATAAAAAATAAAATAAAATTATATTAAATTACATAACCTTACCTGGTTATAAAAAAATGAATTACCTTTCGTGTTTTTTTTATTTTTTCTTTTTTTTTTAGAATTTTTCTAACCAATTTTTTTTTTTTTTTCACTTATTTTTGTACGTTTTATATCCTGTCACGTTTGACTATTTGCAAAAATTATGTTTCCATTTAAATAAATAAAAATGAATTTCCGCCATTTCGAGATATCGAGAGAATTGAATTTTTGCAATATTTACAGACTTCAAAAATTTATAATCCTCGGTCGTACTCACAAAATTAAAAAAAAAAAAAAAAAAAGAAACAATATTTTGTGAAATTTTAATATGTATAATTCTGTAATAATAATTTTAATTTTATTTTTTTGAACAAATTTTTTTTTTTTTTTATGTGATATTGTATATATTATCTTAGTTATTTTATGTTGTTTGACAATTTTTAAAATGAATAAAATGTTTTTACACATATATATCTATTATTGTAAAATTTTTTTTATTTGATTTTATTTCGTATGGTAATGTTTTGTAATAATGGATAGTTTATCGTTAGTCACTAAAGAACTTGGTATTCCAAAATCATATCTTAATAATTATAAATCAACAAAAAATAGAAGTTTCGCTTTGGTTCACAATGATTGGATAGCGTAAGTTATTATTATATCTTCAATTACTTAATAATGTAAACAAAAATTATTCAAATCAGACGATTAAAAAGTAATTTCGATTATTATAATCAGGATTATGGCTGTCTGATTTTAGTTATACATGAAAAAAAATTGCTCCTATCAAAATTAAAATACAAATAATTATCCATATTATAGTGGTAAAAACATTTATTTAATTTATTTTTTTTTTAAATTTATTGTAAGTTTTTCATTTTTCTTTAAAAAAAAAAAAAAATTAACAAATGAAATCTATTTAATTATGTTTTTAAAATTAACTCGTAAACAAAAGATTGTCATAATATTTTTTTGTTTTTTTATGTTTGTGTTAAAATCCAAATAGTAAGTAATTCTAAATTCAAATTTTTTTTCAGATGTACTATACAATTATATTTTGTCTTTAATATTAAAATTTTTCTGTATTTTTTAGTTCTTTGTTGTCAGGTTCAGATATACCTGATTTTATTTGCCATGAAAATTTTACCGATGATGAAGTACAAAATTTATTTCACGAAAAAGAAAATGTCGAACCCTGGCATAAGATACTCATAAATATTGTAGAAAAACCAAAAAGCCATGAACTTGTCATTCCATTACCCAGATCAAGAGCTGTACATTCCAATAACGAAATGGATCTTTCATTTGCTCAACTTTTACATTATATTTCAGAAACAAATTTTAAAAATATGTGGAAGCACTATTATAAAAAACATGCACGTAAGTCACATTAACAAATTATTAAAATATTATTTGTTTTAATTATTTATATTTTTCAAAATGAAATTTTGAAAATTAGTAATGGATTCTTTATTTTTAATATTTTTTTTTTTTTTTTAGGAGATAGAGGCTTTAGTAAAACTAGAGATTACTTTAGAGGAAATTCATTTAATAAAAATAAAGATATATTAATAGAAATAATAAGAAGATTTTATGGATGTAAATTAATATTAGAAAATAATACTAGTACTGAATACTTTTCATCATTTAGTGTGCAATCCGAATTTGAACCGCATCCAAATATTTTACCTGCTTTATGTGCTGTTAGTATTTTCTTTTTAACTTTTTCTGATTTATTTAATTAAAATTAAAAATTTTTAATTTAATTTTTTTTTTCTTTTTTTAGATTGAAACTGAGGAAAATTTTTTTATTTTACATTCTGTAAACAATGTTGTAACGTTAAAAGACTGCATTACATTTAGCCCCACTCTAATTAATACAAGTTATACAAAACCTTTATTTGTGATTTATCAGCTCTTGCAAATATTGAAAAATTCTCATGACAAGGGTTTGATTATTGGTAATATACACCTTGATAATATTTATATAAATGATGAACTTTTCGTGCAGGTTAATATTAATATATTTTTTGTTTACAAATAATTTACTTTAGTTTTCAATGCAAGTACCAATATAAGTCATTTTAATTTTTTTAGGTGATACCAAATCTAGAAGAAAATATTTTCAGATTATCAAATACCGATTTAGAAGTTACTGACAGTAGTCAAAATAAAGAAAAAGAAAAAATTTTATTATTTCCAAAAAGTATTACTCCCAAACCCTTTAATCCTGTATCGAGCATTACCCAGGAATACAGCCTGGAATTTATTTGTAACAAATGGATAAAAAAACAAATTTCTAATTTTGATTATTTAATGTACTTAAATCAAATTGCCGGTATGCCATATTATTATATAAAAATCCTTTTTATTTTATGTATACAAAACATTTACGTCTCTTTTTAACTAATTTTTTAGGGAGGCGATTTGGAGACCCTTCTTGTCATTTTATAATGCCGTGGGTGTCTGATTTTGCAACTAGATCAAATGGAACATGGCGAGATTTATCAAAATCAAAATTTAGATTAAATAAAGGTGATAGACAACTTGATTTAACATATGAAAGCGCTCTCAATTCTAGTCAAGTATGAATTTATTAAATATTAATAAATGATAATTTTTTATTAATAAATTTTTTATCATGTAATTTTTTTTTAGATTCCTCATCATGTTTCTGATGTTTTATCGGAAATAACTTATTACGTTTACTTATCGAGAAGAACTCCTCGTTCTATTTTATGTAAATATGTAAGATCGGTATGGGTACCCGCTGAATATCCATCATCAATTCAACGTTTGCAAGAATGGACTCCTGATGAATGCATTCCTGAATTTTTTTACGATCCGACAGTTTTTAAAGTATAAATAAAACAATTCATTGTTTTAATGATGATTTGAAATAATTTTTTTTTTTTATTTTATGTTCCTGTAAATTACAGTCGATTCACGAAGATCTTCCTAATTTAGAATTACCTTACTGGGCTTTAACTCCGGAAGAATTTATTGAAGCTCACAGAGAGTGTTTAGAAAGCAAATATGTATCGGAAAGGCTTCATCATTGGATTGATCTCACTTTTGGGTACAAGTAAGTTTAAATAATTTTTTTTTTTTTTTTTAAAACTTAAATAAAAATTAAATTTAAAAAATTTATTAAATCAAATTATCTTTTACTTTTAGACTATCTGGTTCAGCTGCGGTTAAGTCTAAAAATGTTTGCCTTCATCTTGTAGAAAGTCATAAACAATTAAAAACTTCTGGCGTGGTTCAACTTTTTCAATATCCTCATCCTCCGAGACAAACACAAATTCAATATTTTGAAAAAGTGCCTCCTAAAACGTTATTGTCTTCTTCTTTACGTCTGCCAAGTTAGTTTTAAAAAAAAAAAAATTAATTAAATATATTTAATAACAAATTTTTTATTGTGCTCAAGTTAATTCATTTAATTTCAGAAGTGGTAACTGCTTCTCAATTTGACAAAGGAGGAGGAGGAGGGAGTGATGACGAAGGTCATAGCTCAGGAAACGGTGAAGATGACTCTTTCGGTACCAAAAGTTCTCCTCTGATATTTTCCAAATTTATGAGTCGATCTAAAGGATCCCTTTTGGTGAGAATTTTAAAGTATAATTCAAATAAATTTCCAGTACAAATTAATATTTTATTTCTTTATAAAAATTAAAAGTAAATTTTTTCGTCTTTGTAATCAAGGGTAAATTTCGATATTGTAAATTGCTTGTCCTAAAATTTTTTCAGGCACCTTTTCAATCATCATCAAATGATGAACCACGTTGTGACCAACAAAAACTAGGTTTACTAAGTGGTCAGGCTTCAAATTCAGCTACACCAATCAATATTCCCAAAGATTTTAATCCGTCCATATTACTAACTTCGGTGGAAACCAATCAAAATTTTTTTAATAAAACATTTTTAACCAAATCAAATTCTTCAGTAAACGAGGAGAAAAAATGCAAGTTAAATGCGAAACAAATTATTGCAAACAAACGAATTCAAGAAATGCAGGTTTTAGGATGTTTAATAGTCGAATTGTTCTTGTTTTCGAAAATTCGAGTTGTGGATGTTAGCGATTTGGAAAAACGCTTAGAAGCATGTTTGTATTTTTTAAATCACGATAACCTGCCACGTTGTTTACGATCAGCTGTTAGCTTATTACTCCGACCATTTAAAGACGTTCAAAATTATTCATTCATAACTTCCTCCGGTTTACCTCCTCCTTCTGCCCATCAATTACTACAACCTTTGCTTTCATCTTTTATATTTCCTTTTCCAAAATTATTTCCCGCATTATATTCGTCCGTTAGTAATTTGATTTTATGCTCTAAAGCAATAGACAAACATAAATTTGAAAATACTCAGGGATATCAAGTTTGGGAAACGTTAAACGTAATAAAAGTCAAAAGGTTTTATTCGGATTTAGAAAAAATTTGGGATGATTCTTTGTCTTCGAAAAATAACTACGCGATTGATTTAATATTTCCATTTATAAAAGAATTGTTCAACAATCCGAATACATCTAAATTAAGCATAATTTTATTTCTAAATAAATTGTGCCGAAATTTGGGGCCTAAAAAAACCAACGAACTATTATTGGAAACTTTGGTCAATTTGTATAATTCAAGTTCGTGTGATAATACCGAAAATTTATATTTGTATCATAAGAAATTTTTATTAATTTTAATTGTACGTTGCGGTTTAAAAGTTTTTCTTGAAAATTTTATTAGTCCTATTGTTGAAGTTCTTGGAAAGTGCAATAATTTTTCTGAGGAAGAAAAATGGGATAATAAAGCCTATAATGAAAAGTATGTAAATTTTTACCTAAAATGTCAAATATATCTATATTAAGATAATTAAAACTGATTTACATCGATTGCAGGCAAGATGTTGAAACAGATTTTGAATTAAAATCAACGACGTTTGAAGATCTATCTCTGAAATTAGGGAACAAACAAAAAGATAAATTAAAACCAAATCCAGAAGTGGGGGTCTTTTCATTCGATCATGACGTCTCTCCATCTACTACCACTGATGATGAAATATTAAGTCAAACTGTTGAACATTTGGAGTTAAATTTAACTTCTTCTGATGGAGATCAACCATGCATTGAAGAAGGAAATCTTTTAACCTCCAATTTAAGTCACGTTCAATCTCCAGAAATAACAATTCCGGGTATGTAAAATAAAATTTTACCAATAATAATGTTTGCCCAAAATTTTTTTTTTTATATTTGATTTGAAATATTATTTTAGGAGGTCACATTCGTAGAAATCTTAATTCTGAAAAATTTGATGTAGAAGATGATATGGCACCTCTTCAAAGGAATTTCTTTAACGGCGTAGATCGTGATGATTTTATGGATCTACCTCAGTTAAAGGTAAATGATAATTTTTATTTTTATTTTTTAAATTAATTTAAAAACTTAAAAACGTGTCCTCGAAGGAAGCTCAATTTGAGTTTTTTTTTTTAAAGGATAAACTTGTTTTATATTATAGGCTCCTGATGTAGCTGGTGATTCAATAATCTGGCTCGCACATCGTCTAGGACCAGTTCTTACATCGCGTCATCTGACACGTAATCTCTTGCGAGTGCTTTCACTTTGTTTTACTGGAAAAGACAATTTGGAGCCTTGCAAGTTCAAAAATGAAACCAACGAAACGAAATTGTGGAAATTATCCGTGTTGAAATGGAAAGTTGTCGGCGATGAAAATGTCGAAACAGTTTTATACGTTCTTGGAAAAATAAGCGAAATTTATGGCGAACAAATAATTTTACTTCAATATTTACCATTCATGTCCGAACTCATTAACCTGAGTAAAAAAAAATTTACCCTAACTTTGGAAGGAGGAATAATTGGGTGTCTAACATTATTAAAGTACATTGTTCCTTTCATGAACGATTCAACGCTTATGGATCAGTTACAGGTTAAAATTGTTCGATACATAAAATCTAAATTTGAATGACGCCATTTTTAAGTTTAGCTAATGACGCTTATTTGAATGTTTAGGACACCATTCTTAAAACCATCATTCATCCCGTCATCCGATTAGTTTCAACCACCAGTTTCACTTATCCTTCGGGGCAAAGAGGAAGATACACGCTTGTTTCAAAACTTATAGACTGTATTTACTTAATATCATTAAGAATAGGAGTAGAAATGACAAAAGTTCACATTGCAGTTCCGGCTTTGCAAAGAATTTTTTTGATTTTTGATAAAGCCCATGGAATTACAAGCAGTAATAATTTTCAATTAGAATCAGAATTAAGTTCAAGTTCGGTCACAAGCCCGTCTAGGTAAAAAAAAAAAAATGGTTTTAAGTTTACATTTACAAAAAATAAATGATAATAATATTTGTCTTGCATTTAGTACTGTGGTCGATAACAGATATTTAGAAATTCAAAGAGATGGAACTACTACAGAATGGTCCGTTCGTGATATTCCTGGTGAGCCAATCACAATAGCCCATGTATGGTCTGAAGAATCATTGGATTCTATTCCAAATGACTGTTACAAGGATCAACAAAATACTGTTCAGAATAAAGCTCTTATTGAGCTTAAGCATGTTTTCGATTCCCACTTGGCACATCAGTGTTATTATACTTTTTTGAGACACCTCGGGGATACTACTATGGAAAATACTCTAAAAAATAAAAATTTTATAAAAGACTTATGTCACCAACACGAGCAAGAATTATCTTTTAATACGTATTCAAAAAGTTAGTTTGATTTTTTTTTTTATCAAATTAAATCAAGGAATAAATTTTTAACAATTTTAAGTATTTTGCAAAATTTTATTATTTTTCTAGAAAAAAAAACTTCTAGTCTAAGTATTGAAAAAGAACAAATGGATTCAGTGGAAGAAAGAGATGGGATCGGTAGCTATGGTAGTAATGTAGCCGTTGTAGGAAATAAAATCGAATTGCAAACAAATAGTAGTACCGATTCCGCTTCAGGTATTAATGGATTAATAAATACCGATGTTACAATGATAATTTGCAAAGAAAAAGAAAACTCTGGAAGGTAATTTTTTGTTAATTAACGCATTATGGTTTTTTTTTTTTAAATTGAAAATTCATTGGAAAATTATTGCAAAAAATAATTTTTTTTTTTTTTCAGGCATTTAAGAGGAAATTGGTTGGCCTATTGGGAACATGAAATCGGAAGAAGTGAAAAAGATAGTAAATTTAATTTTAAACAAATTAAATTGCAAAATTTCACAGGACATGGAAATAGTGTGAGAATGATTCATTGTTTAGAAAATGAAAATAGTTTTATTAGTGGGAGCAAGGATAAAACCGTAAAGCTATGGAGCTTAAGAAGTCAGGTGACTAATTTAATTTCAAATGTACAAAATGTAATGTTCAAATTTTAAAATATTTTGTTTATGTTTTTTTTAAGGGAGATGGAAGTAGTACACAGGGTTGCCAAATGACTTATAATCATCATCGTAAATCTCTTTTATCTCTTTCGTTTATTCCTTCACTTCGAATAATTGCATCGTGCGATTCGGTCATACACCTCTGGGATCCTTTTATAGGGAAAACTATATCTGTCATGGACAATGCAAAAGTGGCACACGTAAATGTTCTCAAAGCATTGAATCCTCCCAGTTGTAATTTAGTTGCTGCCACGACAGATTCAACCCTTAAAATAGTCGATGCCAGACTTTGTTCATTCGTGTCTGAATACAAGGTTAAAAATGATTATTATACGTCGTAGATTAAAAAAAAAAAAATTTCGTGTAAATTTAATTAAAAAATAAATTTTTTTTAGATCTCCGTTAATTCGGTGGGTTTGATTCGTTCCGTTTGTGTCAGTCCCGACGGTTATTGGATTGCCGTCGGTCAAGCTTCAGGATTATTAACCGTACTCGATGTGAGAACCGGCATGGTTCTTTCTTCTTGGAAAGGTCACGAAGCCGAAGTTTTACAATTGGCTACCGTAAACGATAATATTTTAATGAGTTCCTCATTAGATCAAACCGTTTCCGCTTGGAATGCGTCAGATGGAAAATTTAAATTTTTCATGAAGTAAGTATGACGACTAAAAATTACATTTAATCTTTATTCAATAATGGTAATTTCCAATAACGTGGCGGTGAAATAAGAAACATATTAGAAAAAGAAAAGTTTTTTTTTTTTTTTTTTTTTTTCCCCCCGTAAATAATTGAAAACGAGTCAATAAATAATAAGTAATTTGACCTCAATCATATAAGTCGGAGAAATTGAAATTCACAGAAATAAAAAAAAATTGGTTACATAAAAAACAAAAAAAAAAAAATGTATTTTTATTTTAATTTATGAATCAGGGGACCAGCGGAGCCTGTACATTGTTTAGCCGTGTACAATTCGGAATTAATTACCGGTACAACGGCAAATAGAATCGGAGTTCACACGTCGATTGATAGTCAAGCATCGTTTAGTTCTACTAAACTCAGATCCGATGCATTCAAAGGAATTCTAACATCGATGACCGTTTTGCCACTCAATAAACTCTTACTATTGGGTGCCGATAATGGAAATATATCTCTGCTATGTTAAACGAACTTGACGACACTACGGTAAATTTGTTCTTTTACAATATTTTTTGTCTCACTCTCTCTCTCTCTCTCTCTCTCTCAAGTTCACACGCCCACAAACGCTATAAAAAAAAAAAAAAAAAAAAAAAAAAACCATAATTCGCTCAGGTATTTCTCGATAAAAGACTAATTTAAAAACTAAAAATAATAATAATAATTATTATTATTATTATTTTTGTCTAAAATGATGTAAACTCTTTTTTAACCTCATTCATTAGGAAAGTTGCGTTGTATAAAAGATATATATATATATATATACATTATTAAAGAAAGTAGGATTTTCGTCTAAGAAATTCAGGTATGACAATGGCGGTTAAAAAAAAAAAAAAAAAAAAAACATTGTAATTCAATAAAAACTTCTATAGGTTCTCAATGTAGTATCAAGTTCTACATTCTTAATCCACTTTCTACCCATCCACCACCGTCTTATTCACTCAAACACTTTATTCTTTCTTTCTTTCATTCATTCCACTTTATTAATACCGGATTTAAATTTCGTTTCTTTTCTTTTCTTTTTCTCTTTTTTTTTTTTTTTTTTTTTCAGCGAATTCGTTTGAGAAATTATTATTATTATTATTATTTTATCGATTATGATTGATATTGAAAGAGAGAGAGAGAGAGAAAAAAATTTTTTTTTTATACACTCGTTTTGAACTCATTTGAAAATGACAAAAACTATTATTATTATTATTATTATTATTATTTGGTTTTAATCACGTGATATTTTTTAAATTTGATAGCATCAATGAGTTTTTGTGTGTGTGTAAAAAAAAAAAAAAAAAAAAAAAAATTGGTTTCATCACGATGAGATTTTAATCAAAATTTAAAATAATTTCACCTTCTGGCAAATCCGTTTTACGTGCCTAAGATAGAAACCTCTACTACTACCCCTACCACTACTACTTGTTGTTGTTGTTGTTGTCGATTGACTTCACTTTCGATTCGAAAATAAAATTTTGGTCGTTTGTTGTTGTCGTTTGTTGGGTTGTTCCAATTTTTTTTTCGGGTTGAAAAATTCGTAAATTAAATGAAATATTTGTGTGTGTGTGTGTGTGTGTGTGATGAATGATTTGAAAGAAATCTGGTTGTTCGTTTTTATTATTTTATAAAGAAAAAAGGAAAAGGAAAAGGAAAATTTTTTAGATGATGAGTGACAGGTTTTGATAATAATAATAATAATAATAATAATAATGAGATTAATTTTTTTTCGATTGGTTACACAACGACATGATTTTTCAATGTAATTTAATGAGTTGCATTTTTTTTTATTTTAAATAAGAGAAGAAAAAGATTTTTTTTCCTTCGATTAATGAAAAATGAAATTTTAACTTTTTTAAATTGAGTGTGTCATCAAATACACGCACACGCACACGCACACCTTTAAAATAGAAAATTTTTTCGAGAAAGAGAGAAAAAAAAAAAAAGGAGGAGTCATAAGAGAGAGAAAACAATAGTCGGACCTAAAAAAAAAAAAAAAATTTATTATTATTATTATTTTCGCCGAATCTAATTGCAAATTAAACGATTAATGATAATAATAATTTTTTTCGGTTTTCCTTTTTTTTTTGTAACTTATTATTATTATTATTAAATGATTAAATCGAGGATAATGTGAAATTTGCTTTCATATCGTTTTTTTACTTTTTTTACTTTTCCTCACGGTTTAAAAACGTAATTTTTTTTTTCTGGAACTTTGGAACGTGTACCCGCCTTTAGTACCCGCCGTTAGTACTCGTCGTTAGTACCCGTCGTTGACATAAAAGTAATATTTATATAAATATTGTTCGAGTGAAAAGAAATTTAAAAAAAAAACAAAACGAAAAGAAAAGAAAAGAAAAATTCCAAACAAGACAACAACAGTTGCGTCTTTAAGGTCAATCAACTTGTTAACAAAACCGTCCTACTTATCAAAACCTGGTGTCCTCAACCTTGATCCTAAATGTTTGTTGGCTCTTATTATTATTATTATTATTATTATTTTTTTTTTTTAATTTTTTTTTCTATGCGTCGATTAACAGTTTCGAAGTCAAATATATTATTTATTGTCGTAGTATTAGTTATCATTATTATTTTTTTGTCAAATGATGAAAAACGGGAGGGGAAAAAAAAAACGCGAAATTTTCCGATAATTGCAAAATTGCCATCTCTCTCTCTCTCTCTTCATTATTATTATTATTGTTTTCTTTGGTAAAAACCGATTGCGATGATAATAATAATAATATTTATCTTTCACTCGACACCTGATGAGTCTTATTAGGTTCGATCCATCGACGACGATCGAATTTTTTTTTTTAAATTTTTTTTTTCTCGTCATCATAAAATTTAATAAACCGTTTAAAATAGGTTTTTATTACGATGAAATATCGATTATATCGATCGATAGATCGATCGTTAAAAAATTTCCCACGTATCGATGTGAGTGAGGGTATCGAAATTATTATTAAATGATATCAATTAATTAACTATTAATTCGATACACGAAAAAAAAAAAATTTTAATTAATTTTTTCTCTTTCTCGAAAACTTTCACAAAAAAAAAAAGAAAAAATTTTCACATAAAATCACCGTATCCTTTAAATTCAAAACCTGTATTTCCCCCCCCCCCCAAAAAAAAATTACATAATAATAATAATGATAATGTCGACGACGACGACAACAACAACAACAGAAATAAAAGAAAAAAAAAAAATTTCACTTGTATCGATCGAACTGGAAATGAAAGAATGTTAATAAATGAAAGTAAAAATAATAAAATAATAAAAGACCTGGAAAATCAAACCAAAAGATAAAGAAGAAATGGTGAAAGTGTGACATTTTGATTTTGCACTTTATCCACCATTACAAAAAAAAAAAAAAAAATTTTTAAGAAAATCTCGGCATTTTCTTTTTTTTAAATTTTATCACGAACAACCAGAAAATATATATAAATGTGTGCGTGTGCGCGTGTGATTGTACCTATATGTTATTAAATATAATAATAATAATGATTTAAAAAAAAAAAAAAAATGAAAACGAATGTAATTTTTTTTTTTTATTAGCAATCATATTATTATTATTAATATTATTTTATTTTAAACGCATAAAATCATAATAAAAAAAATTTTTATCGTATGCAATTAATATTATTATCATTTTTTTTTTCTACGTTAACGGTATTTAAATTATAATAATTTTATTTTTTAATTATAATATTTTAAAATATATTCTTTTTATAATTATGTACCTTTTTAGCGTGTTATTTAATAAATAAATAAATTAATTAATTAATTAAAAAGTAAGCAAATAATTAAAATGAAAGTTTTTATGTTGTTTCATCCTTGGATTTCTTTTTTTTTCTTTTTCGGTCGGAAAATTACAAACGAAATATATCATGTTTTATTATTATTATTATTATTATTATTATTTGTTGTTGTAAAACAAATTTTTCATTGCGATATAAATAAATAAATAAATAAATTAATTAATTAACAAAAAAAATTATGCGAGTATTTCAATTAACATGGAGAAAATTGGAATTACGTTCTATTTTTGTTTTTTAAGAATGATTCCATTCCATTCATTCATTTATTCATTCAAATTTATTTTGAATGATTCTGACACGAAATAATAATAATAATAATAATAATTAACTTCCGGTCTCATAACCTTAACTAAATTTTTTTTTTATTAAAATTTATTTAATTTTCTTTTTATTTTTTAAATTTAAATTTTTTTTGGTTAATCATTTTAATTATACATAATTATTATTATTATCAAGAGTTTAAAATCTTTTAAATAATTATTATTATTATTATTATTATTAATAAAAGTTGAAAATTTTATTTGAAAAAAAAAAAAATTAAACTCATTAAAATTCTACTCGATCGTGTTTGTTTTATTTAAATTAATTAATGGCAGCCATTTTTTAAAAAAAAATTTTTTTTCATATTTGGTTTTGGAATATTTTTTTTTTTTTTTTGCATTCGTTCGTACGAATAAATAATTTTTAATAAACGATCCATTTAATTAATTAATTACGTGATGATATTAATAAATTAATAATAATAATAATAATAAATTTATTTTTAAGGGATGATTTCGATCGTTATAATAATAATATCAATTTATCGATCGATCGATTTGTTAAATCAAATATTTGTATGCCCTTAATTGGTTTTTTTTTATTACATTTAATAAAAATCATTATGTATTTTTTTTTAACTATTAATACATAAAATATCATAACGGTTTTTTTTTTTTTTAAATAATAATAATAATTCCTTTAAATTTAAAAAAACCAGGAACAATCGAATAAAAATTTAAATTGGGAAAAAAAACTTTCATTTAATTTTTTTTATATTTTATTTTAATAAAATTTATTTATTTATTTTAAAAAAATTAATTTTTGTTTTGTTTTTCTATGTATGTATAATTTTGGAAAAAAATGGCACAAGTAAAAAAATCACTTTCTTAATTAAAAAAAGTGAAACATGATAAATAAAAGGATTTGAAAACGTGATTTGGAGATTTACCATAATATTTATAAAAAAAAAAAAAAAAAAAAAAAAAAAAACGTCATAAGTTTTACGTTTGTAAAGTAGCTGTACATTTTTTTTTTTTTTTTTGGAAACATAAGAAGAAACATTCTCCAGTAAATAAATAAAACTGGAATAAACATCTTTTTTATATTCGTATAAAAAAAAAAAACATAATGTGAATGAAGAACGGGATCAATCAAGTTTTTTTCTTACCAGTTTTAAACTTCTTAAAGTTAGGCACAAGTTGTTCAATCGTCGAAGCTATAAATGTATGTAGGTTTGTGTCATTCTGTTTATTCGGTTAACATTCAGGTGCACAAGTGAACGGTTTTTGATCTGGACAAAAAAATTATTATTATTTTTTTTTTTTTTCCTCTTTACATCGACGGAGAAAAATCGCGTGTCGCGAGTGAAGGTGCTGTGCCCCACTTTACGTAATTGTAAAGTTGGATTTTTTTTGGACATTTATTTATTTATTTATTTATTTTTTTTTTTAGTTATTAGTTCCTTTACCAAAGGTAAGTTTACTCGCCAATTTATTTTATTTTTATCACGGCCTAAAGTTTTCCCATTTTCCCCCAAAGGTTTGTTTCCTTTCCTACCTGAATTATCCATACTTTTGCGTCGTGGAAATTATAATAATAATTAACCGGTGTAATTTGTTTTGTTTTCAGATGAAGTGGTTCATTTTAATAGCTTTAGGGTGTTTAGCGGTAAATGCTTTTGCATCCCCTATAATCAAATCTAAATCGGAAAAAGAATTATTAGAAAATCAACATGATGTTCTTAAATCGGAAACAGGTGAATTATTATTATATTCCTCTCATTATTATTATTATTATTAATTTTAAGGGAAAATGTCGTTAGTTAATGTTTTTTTAAACTGTGAAAAAATCTCATATTTCTAGCACAACTTTCAAATAATTCAATAGTGAACTAGTAAAAAATACGTGTGTGTGTGCGTGAAAGTATTACAAAAATCCGTTAGATAAATATTATTATTATTATTCTTAAGTGAATTATTTAGGTCGGATTTTAAATGCGTTTTAAATACTTTTCTTTTTTTTTTTTATGAATAATTTTAAATTAATTTTTTTTTTTTCGCTTAAATTCTGAGGAGAGAGAAAAAAAAAATGGGGAACGCTTTGAATATTTTTTGTTTTGTAATGAGAGTTTGTTTTTATATTTAGGTAGGCAATCCGATGTGGGATCACAAGCTCCCGCACCTGTTCAGGGAGGAGGAGGTGGAGGGGATGATGACGATGACGATGACGATGATTTAGATATCGAAGATGACGATGATGACGATGATGATGATGACGACGATGACGATGACGACGACGATGATGATGACGATGATGATACCAGTCGTCCTGCCGTTGCAACCAGCGGAAGTCCAGCACCTCAAAGTGATGATGATGACGATGATGACGATGAAGATTACATAGAAAGATTTTTCGACGAAATTCTAGGAGGTAAAATTAATTAAATCGGTGCCGACCTAAATTTTTTTTATAAATAATTTAATTAATTCTTAGATGATGATGATGATGACGATGATGCTAAACCAGTTCAAGCAGCACCACAACCTGTCGTTCAACCAGCGGCGGTTGCGGCACCACCACCACAGCCAGTTCAAACTGAAGTTATGACATACAATCAACCTGTCGAAACTCAAAATGTCGAAATTCAATACGAAGATGAACTTTCTGGAGATGAGACCAACGTAGTTGCCACAATTGACACGACACCCAACGAAGCTGAAAAAGAACAAACGTCGCAACTGATAACGCAGGTTTTACAACCCGTACCACAAACTCAAGCGGTTGCACACTCTTCTCAAGCAGTTCCAGCGACAGCCGGAGCCGCTCAAGAGGAAGAAGATGATGATGATGAGGAGGAGGAGGAAAGTCAAGCAGATGACGATGATGACGATGACGACGATGACGACGATGATGATGATGATGAAGATGATATATCAGATGTTATTGAAGCGAGACAATCTCAACCACGTGAGTCTCACCAAAAAAAAAATCTTTAATATTTAAAAAAAAAATTTTTTTTTCTCCAAAATTTTAAACTCCTCCGGTAGAGACCTGTTAGTTTAATTTATTTTAAGTTATTTATTTATTTATATATATATATATATATATATATATTTTTTTTAATCAATTTTTAAGATACGAACTAGTTTTCCATATAAGAAAAAAAAAAAAAAGTCAAGACGCTAAATCAATGCTGTAAACAAAACAAAAAAAAAAAAAAAAAAAGTATTATCTAAGACCAATTTACAACATTTAACAGTTATTTACAAAGTACAAAAAGTAATCATTCAGTTACTAATTTTACAACAAACCGGAAACAGTTTTTTAAAAAAAACTTTTATTTAATTTTTTTTTTATATACGGCTCCTCAGTTTCATTATATTTAGAAAGACTGAATATTTATAACTATATATATAATTTTTTTTTTTTTTTTAATTAAAGCCGCGGAAAATCGTTTTTCTGAGAAAAAAAAAAAAAAAAGAGAAAGCTTTAGAATTTACCTCTTGACTTTTCTTTTAGACTATAACACTAGTCGACTCGTTGGAATGTGAAAAAGTTATGAATTGTTTGTTAAAAAAGTATTTATTATGTATGAATGTGTGATCGTGCGATTATTTTCAAAAATAATAATTTAGTATATAGCAAAATGAAAAAAAAAAAAAAAAAAAAATTTTTTTTTGTTATTTATTCAGAAATCTAACAGCCATCTTGTTAGTTTCTGATCGGGTGTAATACAGTCATCGTCTAAGTTTTTCTTTTTTTTTTAACGGAAACAATTCTAACGTTAATATGCATTTATGAAAATTAATCATAACTAAGACTAAAAGACTAAATAAAAAAAACTGACAATGACTGTATTCCCAGACATATTTATTATTCCTTTAAATTAATTTTAAAAAAATCCTGACTGATTTATCCTCTTCATTCGTCATATTTTTTTTTCCTTACTAAAGTAATTACAAATGACGTTTTCCTAGACTTTTAAAACCGGGGAAGGGGGGGGGATTAAAAGTTATGATGAGACTCGAAATGAATAAATTTAAAAAATTTCTAAATGCAGGGGGGGGGGCAGTAAAACTAATGACAAAAAAAATTTACTGATCGCTAAATTATTCCCATTAAAAAAAATTATACAATTAATATTTCGTTAATAATTAAAGAGACGTGCCTTCTTATTAAATTATTTTTGAAAGTTAAAAAAAATTAATGTAGGACAAAAATGATGGTAAATTTTGCAAAATTGATGAAAAAAAAAAAAAAAATTAAATTTTTAAATTAATTGTCCAAAATTAATAAGATTTAATATTTATTTAAAAAATAAATAAACATATAGAAAACATAATTTGGAAAATTTAGGTATATTTTACCGATAAAATTTTCAATATTAATACATGTTTACAATACGACTACAATTTAAATCGATTTCTAAATTTTTTTATATTAATTACAAACCGGAAATTGAAAAAAAAAAAAAAAAAAAAAAAAGTTGCCAGAAAATTTTTTTTTAAAACGCACGCGACATTAGGTTTCACCGTTAAAAAATAATTAAGGATTGAACCTAATTGAAAACAAGTTTTTCAAATTTTTAGGTTTCACATATAAATTCTAGGTCAAACCTGACTATTTATCGATGAAAAAAATCTTTACAAGAAAAAAAAAAAACGCACACCATCCGTTTGATGACTTACTTACTTCTTTATTTATTATTTTTACTTACTTCTTTTGATTTCTTTTATAAATAATTTTTTTTTAAATAAAATGTATATATGTATGAATCATTAAATAATATAATTTTACAGGTAAAAACAAACAAACTAATATAAATAAATGAATTATATATGTATATATATTTCATATTATAAAAAAAAAAAAAAATTTTATTAGGTTCTTTAGATGAAACGCAACCACGAGTTTCACCAATGTACATCACTAAATATAATCGATACGTGGATAGCGTGTTAATGAAAATAAATAAAATACTTAAACGTGGATATGATCCTGTTAACGTACGACTTCACACGGTCAAAACTAATAAAAATAAAAAAAATGACAATAAAATTTCAAAAAATAAACCGTCGAAAAAAAATACAAAAAAAAAAATTAAAAAAGAAAATCGTTCGAGTGATGATTCCGAGGTTGATAAAAATAAGTAAGTTTTCTTTATACATATATATATATTTTTTAACAATAATAACTATATTAATTTTCATCCAAAAACTAATAAAACAATATTTAAACTATTGATTTTTTTTTTTTAATTTCAGTGATAAGATGAATAATTTAAATGAGACGACAAATTCGAGTCGAATTTTTAACGATGATGACATTCTTTCTAATCAAACCACTGTTGACGATAGTTTAAATTTGAACCTAGAAACAACAAAACAGACTAATGATGTTGAAGAAACCAATAGCAGAGCGGTTGATTCGCAAAAAAAAAAAAAATTAAATAACAAGGTACGTTTTGATAAAAAATAATTATGGCGTGAAACAATATTATTCTCGTGTATTAATTTTTTTTTTTTTAAAAATAAAGGAAACTACAAAACAGTCGAGACCAAGAGCCAAAGCAACGCTTTATGGTTTATCATCTCTTAAACGTCAAAATGATGTAACAGTGAATTTGATGAGCACTCATACAACAATAAAAAGCAAATTTTTAATGGGTCCTTTAATTCTAAAAGTGGAAAAGGAGGTAGACTTGTTTCAAAAAAAAAAAAAAAAATTCTATTTAATTAATAAAAGCAGAAATTTTACATGTTTTTTTTTTTTTTTTTCAGTTTGGCCGAGGAGTAAAAAAAGAAATACGAAGTGCAACTGCAACAACAACGGAAATGGTTGGAAAATTAAATTTAAGAATACAGCATGGAGGCGAAGCAAAATTGCATTCTATTAGAGTGATGCAACCAAATTTGCTTAGAATTGATGCTCCAGATAATCATGACAAAACAAGAGAATTTATGTGGAAAAGATCTAGCCATATTGCTCAAATAGTGTCTCAAAAGTTAACAAAAGCTGCAAGAAGTTTGCTGAATACTGATTCGAAAAAATCAGTTAAAAAACAACAATCAGGTTTGTTTTCTATTTTCAGCTGAAAGGTAACATTATCATAAGTACAATAAGTTAAATTTAAGTTAAGTTTATTTTTTAATGTAAATTATTTATACACTATTTATTTATTATTTATTTATATATTTATTTTTTAATTGATAATTGAAAAAAAAATTAATAACAATATTTAATAGATGACATAATAATAAAATTTCTTCATCCTACAAAGAATATTTTCCAAAATACATTAAAACATAACAATATAAAATAATATGTAATATTTTTTTTCGATCATTCACACCTTGAGTATTATTACTACAATAACTACATTGAATGACAGCCATCTTTAAATAATTAAAAAAGTTATTATTATTAAAATCTATTTGAAACTTTGAATTTAAAAAAGCTTACTCTGTGTACTAAAATTTCAAATTTGCAAAAACATGTTGATTGTTTTTATTAAACTAATTTTAAGTTTTTTTTTAATAGAATAATTTAAGTATTTGATAATTTTAAATGATACTCGAGCACTAATGAAAATCTTAAAGAAAAGTAAATATATACATGTAATGTATTTGTTACTCTTACCTAATAATTTTTAAACTCCTTTAAAGCAATATGTAGCCCACTGCTCATATTTAGGATGAGCGTGAGCAAAATATTCAGCAATTGCTGGTTTGTAGAATTCATTTGGATCAAGAGTTAAGTAAACAGGATAACCTTTCCATTTTCCTACTTCCCAACCTTCAACATCTTTCATAAGTTTTTCTTCATCATCACGATTTTTTTTTAAAGCCTTTAGATACAATCTGTCACCTTCTGCTGCCAGCAAAGGATGTAATGCAACAGCTCCAGTATTGTCTTCAATACGAGCATTTATGCCTTCTTCTTTATCTTTCTTTAAAAAACAGTTAAAGGAAATCACTGAAATTCCAACCACAACGCCTAGCTTTATAAAAGGATTCGAAACCTTTAAAGGCACTTTGGCGTATCTAATTTTACTGTAGCCCCCCGGAGGAGGCATATCTTGGCGAAAGTCACACATATTTTTATTACTAATGTTTAGATCAATTACGGGTTTTGTAAAAGCAGACTAAACATTATTTCGATTAATCGAATTGTTTCGACTTATTATCGTATTTTTCGAGTTCAATATATTATATCGAATGTCTGCATCGATGTTTGATCGCATAATGGGGTTAGTCGAATTAATTGAGTTTTAAGATACCATTTCAAAAAGTTTCTGTTTAATCATGACTTTAAGAAAATATTCTGTCTTAGTGTATTACAGATTTTTTAAAATAAAATACCATTCTTCAGATTAAATTACATTCAAGTTATAATTTCTCAGTAAAAATGGAATTATATAATTTTATGTAAAAAAAAAAAAAAAAAAAATTATTTTCACAGTTTGTCTAAGAGAAATGGAATATTACAAGACAAAAAATGAGTGGAAGAGACAAAGAAATTAAACCCCTGGAAAAGCTTAAGCAATTTTTTCGTGCAGCGAAAAGCAGTTCAGGTATATAATGACATTATATAGTTTTCATGATTTCAAGAAAAACTTTAATTTAAAACTTGCAATTTTATATCTGTATCTCATAATCGTTATATTAATTTAAATGAAACTCTTAGAATACAAAATTTATGTATTATTAATTATAAACTTAAAATTAAAATATTAAAGCAACAAGAAATAAGGCAACAAATTGCTCAACTACGTACTCATATTTTAAGTTCCTTTCTATTAAATTACAATAAAAATGTTAATTTCATATTTCTTTTTAAACAATTCTTTTTAGTTAATTACAAAGGAAAGGCAGATTTTGTAATCACTTATGAAATTGAAAAAAGTATTAGTGCAGATACACAAATACATCAAAGAATTAGAACTATCAAGGAGCTGAGTGAAATAGTTGCTACATGCAGATTAGAAGATGTAAATTGTTTGGCTTATTTTGATTCTTTTTTTTTTGTTTCAATTTTGTAAGGTTTTAAATTTTCTATTTATATTTTTAGCATGCTGTAGAAAAACTTTGGACTTTGGTTCGAGATTTGTTGCAAAAAGAAGTTGAAAAAGAGCACAGACAAGCATGCTTACATTTTTTAAAATGTTTGGTGCAAGGCCAATATGAAAAATTAGGAATCATGAGAACACATTTTTTCAACATTATCAAAGAGCATGACTTAACAGATGATGTCTCTTATTTGTATGAAATACAGTTTTAGTTTTTATAATTTATTTCCTCAACTTGAAAATTTGTTTAATTTTAAAGCAAATTATTTTCTTCAGGTTAGATTTACTTCAAGCATTAACTGATAATGGAAGAGATATTTTACATCTTGAAGATGAATTCAGTGAATTTCTTCTTAAATGGACACCCAAAGTCATTGGTGTTGGAAAAGCAGCCGAAGTTTTGTCTCTCTTTTTAAATGTTATAAAATACAATGCATCATATATTGATGACAATAATATGGCAGATATTGTAGAGTATGTATTTGTATAATTTTATTGCTTTTTAACTAGTGACTTAAATACCATGTTAAAAATTTTAGCTTGGCATGTTTTTTGTGTTCATGGAGTAATAAAGATGAGGTCATTTCAACTTCACTACAGGTTTTAGATACTATAGTATGCTACAGTAATTTACCTCCTGATTCATTATCTGTATTCATTTCTGCTCTTTGTCGAAAAGTAAACGTACATGAGTATTCACATAATTGCTGGAAAATAATGAGAAATCTATTAGGTAATTAATTAAATTTTGGAAAAATACCTTTTGCTTTCCCAACAGATTGTATCGTTTATGAAAAAGGCCAATAAAGCTAAAATGAACTCTGAATTGAATTTATTTAGATGGTATTTGTAATTAATGAACTTTACCTGAAAGAAACCTTAAAATGAAATTTTTAGCAAAAAAAATTATAACTTACATAGGTGTTTTATTATTCACTTTAAAATTATAAAATTAAAGTTAAAATAAATAATTTTAGGCACTCATATGGGACACTCAACATTGTATACAATGTGCAAAATTTTGCAAGATAATGCATATTACAATGATGTTGGTCTTCTCAGAGGAACTGTTTTTTACATTAATATGGGATTATGGAGTAATAAAAGAGTTACATCACTGAGATGTACTCTAACTTCTGTTTTACCTTCATTGTTGCAGGTGAGTTCATAAATATATTACCTCTTAAATGAAATTAATTTTAGAAGGGCATAATCAGATATTTTCAGTTTAAAGAGCTATTTGTATATTTTTAGTAATCAAGTAATTATTTTAGGCAATGCATTGCAATCACACTGTTGTTATATATGAAATTACAATAAGTATTCATCGTCTGGTTAATAAGTTTGGTTTAGAACTTCAAGACCCAGCTTGGGATGTTGTTTTATCGATTTTAGAAGCAATTATTGAACATGTTGAAACAAAAGATGTGTCATTATTAGGATCTGTTATAACAAAATTGCATGAAACTTTATGCACAATCGAACAACTGATTGAGCTTGGTCAGTTTAATGGTAATGTCCGAAGAGTTTTTAGCTTGATTGAGATGTCTTCTTGCATGCGTCCCGTGAGTAGAATTTATTACTTTAAACCTAGTTTTACTTTATTACGCAAACGATAATTTTAAAAGGTAATGAATCAATAAGAATTATTTGGTTTATAAAAACTTAATTTTTTTTTTATAAGGAAAGTTCAGTTATTCGACTTATAAATTTTTTATCGGGATCCATAGTTCCTACCCGTTATGAATGGTTAACAAAATTAGATGGTCTTTTGGAAAAATATTTTAAACAAGACACCAGACCGAATGTTCGCGTGAAAGTAAGTTACATTTTATTGCAAAAAACTATTAAATTATTTAAGTATTATTAAAAAAAAAAAAAAAATTATGTTTTCTTTAATATTTTAGACTCTAGAAGTGTTGAGTTTAGTTGTCAATAGTAACAAATTAATATACGAAGATGAACTCATTGAGAGAATTGTTATTCCCTACCTTCAAAACCTTGATCAGGATCCAGATATAAATGTACGGAATGTCGGTGCTCAGATTCTTGTAAATCTTTGTATTGGATGCGAATCAAAAAAATGTTTAGAATTATTAACCGTCTTAGAAAAGGTATCTATAACAAAAATTTTATAGAATGATCTCTATTCTCATTTAAATAAATTTATTCTGAAAAAAAATATTTTATATATTTTGTAGCTACTGAATCGTAAAGAACAGCATTCTTTTGAAAACATTCAAAAAGAAGGAAACGGATGTGAAAACGACGGCTTAGAAATTAAATCGGTCGTTTCCGGTTTGATTAAAATATTCACCTTAAAAATGTATCATTTACCTTCAAATCATGCTCTTAAAGCATATAAAATTTTAATAGGATTTTTAGAAAGCTGTTATAAAAATTCTTATCATCAAGATTATAATCAAAACATTAAATTTATGGTAAGTCTTTCGTACTTTATAAATTTGTTTTGAATAAAAATTTTTGTTTTGTACGTTGTTTGCTTTCCTTTTTTTAGATTTTTGAATGCCTTTTAAAGCTTCGAGTTAATAAAATTGGTCATTTGGGATTATTAGATGCAACTAATTCCGTTCGTTACAGTTCTTATTTAATTATCGAATCAAAACTTAATTCTGATAAAGGCGGTCCGGGAACTATTTCTCCTCCTCCAATTAGTCCAGCCCCATCGAATTATCCATCATGTGTTGTAACGCCATTTTCATTTGCTACGGCATCTAAGGTTATTATAAGTGCTCTTAAAAATGAAAAGGATTGGAAAGTTCTTTGTTTGCTTTTGCAAGAACTTCCTAGCATTTTACAAAGTAAATCACTCATGCTTAGTAAACACGGAACGGATATTGGTTTACTAGCTGATGCTCTTTGCTCCATGGTAAATAAATAATTTTATTTTTAAACATCGTTTAATAATAATTAAAGATGGTAATAATTTATCTACCTAAATAAATTTAAAATATTTTATAATTTTTTTTTTTTAGGTAAGCGATAAAACTTTAAATTTACCCGAAAGCTTGCGGAACATACCACAAAAACTCAACCGAACTGAATTTCAAAGCTACGTTTTTCCGGTCATAGCCGCCATTTCGTCGTATCATCTTAATTTAGAACCTAGTCAACAACAGCGTTGCATCAAATGCTTGGAATACGGTTTAGCATCGCGATGTGCCAGTCAATGCGTGATGGCTTTGACAACTTGTACCTTGGAAATGAGAGACGCCATGTACAAATTATTACCAGAAGTTCTTTTGAACTTATCGAAAATTTCTGCGACGGTTGTCATTGCTATTCCCATATTGGAATTTTTGTCAAGTATAAATTTTTTTTAATTTAAATTATCAATAAATTAATTTAAGTAATAAATTTAAATTAATGATTTAAAATGTTTTTTTTTCTAGCGCTTACTAGTTTACCAAAAGTTTTTGCTAGTTTCGTCGGAGATCAATACATGTCAGTTTTTGCAATTGCTCTTCCATATACGAATCCTTTTAAGTATAACCATTACACGGTGTCTTTGGCTCATCACGTAATTGCTGTTTGGTTTCTGAAATGTCGATTACCATTCAGACGAGATTTTGTTCGGTTCATTACTACAGTTTGTAAAAATTTTAATGTTCAAAGTTAATTTTAAATTTTATTCAGTATAAAATTGTTTAACGTAGTTTTTTTTTTTTTTTTTTTTTTTTTTTTGAATTTAGGGTCTAAAGGCAAACGCTATAGCTCCTTTCGAGGAAGAAAAACTTTTAAAATGCGATTTATCATCATTAAATGAAGATTCTACGAGCAGAAAGAGATCTTCTAGTCTTACAGAGCAAGGAAGTCGTCGTCGGGAAAGGCCGATTTCAACTGCTCCTCGCATAGGTGCAGATTTAAAGCCTCCATTAGATGAAGCTTTGTTTAATTTTCACGTGGAATTAACGGAAACATGCATCGATTTAATGGCTAGGTACACTTTTTCATCGTGTTCAGCGCGTCCGAAAAGGTTAATTAATTTACTTAAATTACAAACTTGTGAAACATTTTTTAAAAATAATTAGCCTATAAAATATTATTATTTATTATAGATCTCCTATAGCTGAATTTTTATTAAGCGGTGGTCAATCTCAGACTTGGTTATTAGGTCATAAATTAATAACCGTCACAACTAGTGGGTGTTCGCAAAAACCTTTAAAAAATAACTTGTGCGATAGATGCTGGATGGTTTGTAAATCTGACAAAAAATTCATGTCACCCGACGGTGATGAAATTGAAAAAGATGATTTACTCAAACTTTCCAGACAAAATTCGGGAGAGAAAAATTTAGATCAAAATATTTCAGAATCTCAAAAGTTTAACAGAGGTATTTATTTATCATTAAAAAATTACTGCAATTATTTATCAAAAATATTATTTTATTATTATTACTATTTATATCAGGTTTTTTTTTTTTTAAATAACGATATAATTTAACAAGTTTAAAAAAATGTTTTTCAGATATGTCTTCTGGAGGAGAGAGCCCGACGACTGACGATAATAAAAAATGTGCAAATCACGAAACTTCAAAATTGGAAAAATTCATTTTCGGGAATAATGACAATACTTCTAGAAACGATCTGTGCGCTTGTTGGTGTCAAGGATGGGCTGAAATTTACGTAAAACGTCCAACGGGTAATTAATAAAATATTTAATTTATTCGCACCGGGTGATAAAATATAATTGACCAATTCAATTTCAGGTGATATGTCTTGGGTTCTCAGGATACAAAATGAAACCAATTATCAAAATTTGTCTCAAGAATTACCTTTGCCAGATGTTACCACATTGTTTTTACCCAGCAATAAACCTAATTTAATCGAACCTTCGCGATTGTCAGTTCATCAACACGTGACAAATTTACAACCGTTGATTTCGCCTTTAGAAGTACGAAGTCACATTTTTTGTTTTTTTTTTAAATCAAAAAATTGTCATTACTTTTTTAAAAATGAATTACTTTGTACTTTTTTTTTTTTCCAGTTATCAAAGGAAACAATTAGCAGTTCTCAACAACAACAGCAGCAGCAGTCGTTTAATCAGGGTAGTACTCTTTCCGTTACGGTACCTGGAACACCTTCGAGACAAAGTTCAAAAGAAAGCGTTGACGAAATTAATTACGATGAGGAAAAGGGAAATGTTGAAAATGATTATTCTAACGATTTGAGTAAGTTTTTTTTTTTTTTTTAAGTTATAAAACTACTTTGAAATAGATATTTTTTAAAGTAACTTAAAAATTAGTTACAAAGTTCAATTTCTTTATTAATGTGGGTATAAAATAACATTAAAATGATTTTTGTGTTTTTATTAAATAAATTAATTAATTAAACACTTAGCTCATAATTAGCTTGCATATGGTTTTAGAATTTTTTTTTTTTTTTTTTTAAATTAGTTTTTTAGTTTAAATTTATTTAGTTTTGTAAATGTTTTGTCAATGTCAATTATTATGGATTTGTTTAAAGTTATTCTTCTTAAATCTGTGTGCACTCTCAAATTATTTGAAAAAGGTTTGTTTCAGTTTAAATCTATTAAAAAGGCTATTTTATATATTTTTCAAATTCTTAATGCTTTTAAATGGGGGGGGGGGGGAAAGAACTTTGGTCAAAACTAACTTTAAAACTATTATGGAGGATATTAACACTAATACGAATAATAAATAATAAAATAAAAATAATTAATAATTGTCTTTATGGGCGTCAGTATTTTTTGTAGTCGATTCTTACCCGGAAAAATAATTAAAAATTAATTTATTTAAACTTTTTAGTTTTTTTTTTTTTTTAAACTAACGTTCACTTCATAATATTAAATAAATTAACATTGAAAATAATATTAAACGTTATTTATTGTACAGTTTTTTTTTTTTTTTACTAGGATTAATATTAATAAAATTGTTAAAGAAATGATTGTATTTAGAGTGTGTTGAAAAAAAAAAAAAAAAAAAAAAAAAGGAAAACTCGTTGATTTTAGAACGTTGATCTTTGATAGAAAGGTAATAATATTATTTTTCGGTCAATTTTATGATTAGACTACAAGATGTATTTTCACAGGCGGAAAATCACGTAATCCCGTACGGAGATCAAATTCTAGTCCGGAAATGAGTGCAAGTTGGAAAAATCCTTTTTTAAAAGAGCATTTAAAACACGACGAAGATAGTTGTGAAGTTTCAAAACAGAAACAATCGTATGGAAAAGTGAGTTGCGAAGCCATACCAGAGGAAATGTCTGGAATGGGAACAACGCCTCCCGATTCCGTTCATCAACCTCTCACAATCGCCATTTCATCAAAACCTCCTCCTCATTCATTTTCTCAACAAAGTCCCACGCAAAAAAAAACATATCCGAAAATGGGGGGAGGAATAAAACGGGATAGCCCAAAATTTGATGGTAAATCCTTTGCGGATAAGCAAAATTTGAACATCGACTCGTTGGGAGATAAAAATCCCTCAAAATCGTATTCCTCAAGTGGGGAAATAGGTAGGTTAATGATTTCATTGATTGATTGATAAAAAGCATGAATTGAACTATGATAAAAAAAAAAAAAAAAAAAAAAACCAATTTCAATGTACAATTTTGAGGTAAGTTTAAAAATGGAGATTTATTAGTCAATGTCTTGCATGCTCATGTTTTAAAAATTTTATTCATATTTACCATAATAATATAAATTAATAATTTTCAGCGAAGGGATATAACGCCAAAAAAAAAAAAAAAACATTTCAATGGAATTTGTGTTTTACCGTTACTAACATAACATCCTACGTTTAATTATTTATTATTTACATTTAAAAAAAAAAAAAAATATGTATTTGTGTAATAGGAAAATGCGAATCCAATAGAAGTCTTAACTCGGATGAAAATCGTTTAGATCTTTCGCAAACGTATAAAAGAGATAGAAGTCGAACCATATCCGTCATGTCACCGGCAAGAAAATCCCGATACGATAACGATCATTTAAAACCTAAATTAAGTTCGCCTAGAACTAAAGATGCACCCCGTTCAGGTGTGAGTCCCAGGTATGCATATATACATATATATATATAACATTGATGTTTATTTATTTATTTATTTGTTTTTTTTTTTTTTTTTTTACGTTTAAATAATATTTTGTTTGTTTTAGTTTCGTATTCCTTCAACTGTATCATTCCGCTCATTTTGGAAGTACGGAGGAAAAACCGATTTTGATTTCACAAAATTCAGTCATTCAAAGAGCTATATTAACTTTAGATTTCATTCCGCCATTCGAAACTCACAAGGTCTCGTAAAAATTCATGTAAAAGAGACTTTAAAATGTTAACAAAGACAAAGTTTTTTTTATGTTTTTATGTTTTTATGTTTTTTTCTAGGTTGGAGTGATTTATGTAGGCCCCGGACAAGCCAATTGCGAAGCGGAAATACTTCGAAACGAATTCGGTTCCCTACGCTATGCTATTTTTTTACAAAGTCTCGGAACTTTGATAAATTTGAAAAATGCAGATCCGAAAAGTACTTTTCTAGGGGGGTTGGGAAAAAGCGGAGTCGATGGAAAATTTGCTTATATTTGGCAAGATGACGTCACTCAAGTAAGTCGACAAATAAATAACGTGACGAGTGGTTGATAATTATTTCTAAAAATTGTCATTTATTTTTTTTTTATTTTTATTTTTTTTTGCAGGTTACGTTTCACGTGGCGACTCTGATGCCAAATAAAGAATCCGATCCTAATTGTCATGCTAAAAAAGCTCACATTGGAAATGATTTCGTTACGATTGTTTATAACGAAAGCGGAGAAGAATACAATATACAAACCGTAAAAGTAAATAATAATAAACAAAAGAAAAAAATGGAATTAAATTTACACACAAAAAAGAAAATGGAATAAATTGCAATTGTTTTCAGGGTCAATTTAATTATGCGAACGTTATTATTCAACCTTTGGATCATGCAACAAATAAAGTGGTTGTAAAAGTAAGAGAAGAATTAGCCGATCAAATCGGACACAGCGAACAGAAAATAGTTTCGGATCAAAATTTGGCCATTTTGGCACGTCAATTGGCACTTCACGCAAACGTACGTAATACGTTCCTTTTTGAAAATTTTAATTTTTTTTAAAAATAAAATTGTGTATTTACCCCTCCCCTCCCCTCCCCTTCCTTCTTTTAGTTGGCTTCATTGGTGTCTCGAAGTTTAAAAGCAAAAAATCAAGATCCCTACGCTTCGAATTGGTTGGAAAGATTAAGGAAAATCAAAAGGTTGCGTCAAAAGGTTTTACAATTGGAAATATCAGAGGAAAATGCGGATCATAAAGAATTTTTAAATCCTCCAAAAAGTAGAAAAACCGACTACATGGACGATTTTACCGAATACACGTGAATTAAACTTACGAAAACGTATAAAATAATAATAATAAATTTATTATAAAGATATCATAAAGGTACGTGCATTTTGTTTTTATTATTATTATTATTATTATACAAATTCTCCTTTGTATTTAAACGTAAGGAAAAAATGGCTATCACTTACCCCCCCTTTTTTTTTTTTTATTGAAAAAGGTTGTTTAAGGTTGTTTAAGGTTGTGTATAATTTAAAAAATTAGTCGATTATTAATATTTAAATAATATTTTATTGGTACGTTAAATAATGGCACAAAAAAAATACAATAGTACGTCGATTGTAAATTTAATAATTCATAAAAAATAAATTAATTCTTTCATTTTCTTTTTCTTTTTTTTTAAGCTTTATAAAATCACAATTTTTGTACTAAAAATTAAAATGGTTTAAAATAAAATATATATATATATAAAAAAAAAAAAAAAAAGGTAATTGATGATGAAATTTGGCATAAACAAAATTAAATTTGCTAAAACTAAAGCAAATTGTTTTAATTTAAAAAAAAATTTTTTTTTTTTTTTTTTTTTTTTACACAACCTTTTTCAACCTAAACTAGTAAAAAGTCTTTTTGAAGAATGACTACAATCAAGAATTACTAAATAATTTTTTTTTCTTTTTCATTTTGTTCAAATGTTACATTTTTGGTTTTAATTTTTTTCTTAAAACTAAACCCAAAATTAGAAAACCTGCTGATGTGATGTGATAAATGTAATACACTGACCCATAGTACCTTAAACCATTTTCTAAGCTAAGCAAACTAAATGCCATTCCCAAGTAACTGAATGCTTGTGTTCTCATTATCCAAAACATAACATTCAGGATATATTTCTTCTATAAAGTATAAGAGGTAAAAATTAATGATAATGTATGAATTTTACTTGAACATTCAAAACAAATTATAATAGTACTTACCATTCCTTCAGCATTATTTTTCAATAGTTTTACCCATATGTCTTCGAGAAACAGGTACGGAGGAACAAAACATAAACATAGATAGTAGCCGGCATAGACTCCATGCCATAGTGCTGACACGGCAAAGGTTACAACAGTTCTATAAAATGATTTTAAGTTTTATACTTGAGTTTTACATTTTCAAATTATTATTTAAAAAAAAAATTGTTTACCTTAGCAACTTAATTGGAAACCTTTTATATACAATATTAGCCATCCAATACTGAACACACATATTCCAATAAAGAATGCTAGTCCTTAATAAAGGATCTGTTTCAGTGTGCCACAAATTAACGTTTAGAACAGTGTCATAATTAAACTTGCTGTTTTCTTTGAGAGCTTTATTTCTTTCCCTGTAATTAGTATACAGATTTTTTTTATTTATTTTAATAATTATCCATTTATAAAATTTAAACTTTTTAAGAATCCTGTTTACATTTTTTCAATTAAGTCTAAATTTACTGTCGGTCCTTTTCCAGGTTTGGGTTCCGTTTCACATGGGTAGGCTCCTATACCTGCTGTAATACATGCAGCTTCAGATAGTAATAAACCAATATAAATTCTCATTCTAAATGCAACAAATACTGGTATTATGTACCATAATCTATACCAAAATGTTGTCATCAAGTAAAATGTTTCCGATTCCGCATACTAAAAATATAAATAATGTAGCTCAAATTATATCCATACCTTACACCATAAAAGAATTATTCATTTAAAAAAAAATTATTATTTCCTACCTTAACAGGGTAAATAGAATTAACTATTAAAAAAATCACAATAAATAATGGTACATATATTAATTTTTCTGCGACAGCTTTATCAAATCTTATGTATTTATAAAAATCATGTTTATGAAAATCACTAAATGTTTTATAGGAAAAATATGGTCCTGTCAATATCCCAATGTGGCAAAAAGTGTAATGAATGATTTCATTAAAATTTATTAAGTTTAAGTCTAATGTTGTCTTATCCTTTGATTTTTCATTCGAATTTAGACAAGCATAAGAATCGTGAATTTCAAATGCTAATCCAACTAACTAAAAATAATTAAAATATTATAAATAAAATATTAAATGAATTGAAAAAAAAGTAAAGGTAGCTTCATAAAATTAATTGTATGAAATGTTAATATGCATTTTAAAATATTTTTAAAAAATTTATCTTACTTTTAGAGTCATAATCATTTGTATAAGGTTTGTATGACTAGGAGGGTAGTCTATGCCAAAATATAATGTATTTCGAAAAAAAATTAAATAAATAAAACTGTATATAAAGCTGATTATGTGACATATTCTGTAATATTTAAAAGACATTAATTTAATTTACTTTATAAATCAACAACAAAAATATTTTTAAAATAATTCTTATATACCTTTTACTGGTGTAAAGTATTATAAGACTATTACAAAATGTAAAAAAAATAGAATGTAAAACGTGAATTCCAGACACGGATAAAACAATTGAAAAACCAGCCACAGTTGAAATCCATTTTTTTAAATGTATATTTTCGATTTTTCTTAAAAAACAACCAAAAAAAATTGTAAAAGTAAGTAAAGAAAGATATATAATGTCATTTACATCCATTCCTTATCTCTTGTTGGCCATAGAGAATATTTCAATTGTGCTTCTATGTTATCACGTTGGATTCCTAAAATCATTGTTTACTGGTTACAAATTTGATTTTTTACATTAGTTTTTTTTTTTTTTTTTTTTTTTTTCAGTAAATCAGACTTTCACAATTAAAGTTATATTTTTGAAACTTTAGTATAAAAATAATATATATTTTTTTATAAAGGTATTTAAAATGTTACAAACTTCAATCAAAAAGGTATTTTACATTGCATTTAATTTTTTTAAAATTATTTTTTATCATTATATTGTATTATAAAAATTTAAAAAATCTTTACAGATACATGGGAAATTGAAAGGGTCAAACTTAAATACTGCAGAAGTTATTGTAAACAGTTTTAAAAGAGCTGAACAAGTTTTGGAGCTCAATTCTTTTATTAGTATGAATAATAATGCCGGTTTACAAGTTGAAAGTTCCAATGAATATTTCAAAAATGGTAAAAAACAATAATTATTAAAAATTTTCGTATAAGATTTCTAAGTAAAAATTTTTTTATTTAATAATAATGCTTATTTTTTTTTAGGAAAACCAAGATCTTTATTAGAAGGTATTCCTATTGCAGTGAAAGACAATTTCTGTGTAAAAGACACACTAACTACTTGTGGTTCTAAAATGCTACAAAATTTTAGGCCCAAATATACTGCGACTGTTGTTCAAAAATTATTAGATTCTGGTGCTATTTTGGTAGGAAAAACAAATATGGATGAATTTGCTATGGGTTCTGGTACAACCACTTCAATTTTTGGCCCAACTAAAAATATTTGGGGTTCTAGGTTTTCAAATTTATGTATTCAAGAAAAAAATGATTGGTTTATTCCTGGAGGTAGTTCTGGAGGAAGCGCTGTTGCAGTAGCCAGCGGAATATGCTTAGGGTTTTTAGTCAATTTTATTTATTTTTATACATTTTTTCTTCATTAGTAATTTCTAGCTTATTTTATTTTTATAGCAAAAAATATTTTCACAATCACTGTATACACCAGAAATATTAATCGTTAATAAAAATTAAATTTTTCATTTTTTTTTTTTTTTTTTTTCTAGTGCTTTGGGTTCAGATACAGGAGGATCTTGTAGAAATCCTGCTTCATATTGTGGCATTGTTGGATTAAAACCTACTTATGGGTTACTTTCAAGGTATGGATTGATTCCTTTGGTTAATTCAATGGATGTTCCTGCAATTATGGCACTTAATGTCGAAGATACAGCCTGTTTATTAGGTGTTTTATTTTATTGAGTTATCATATTAAATGTAAATTACAATTTTCTACTAATTTAAAAATTCATAATTTAAAGTTCATATAAAAAAAAAAAAAGAAAAAAATTCTCTGCATTATTATAATTAACATTAGTTAATTTTTTTTTTTTTTTTAGGTATCATGATGGGTAGAGATGAAAATGACTCTACTACTGTATCGAAAAATTTAAATTTAGCCCTAAATTATTCATCATCATCGGTAAAAGGTTTGAAAATTGGAATTCCTGCAGAATACAATTGTCAAGGTCTAAGTGATGAAATACGTTCAGCATGGAACGATATTGCAAAAGTTTTATACCAGGGTGGTGCATCTATTGTACCTGTAAGCATTAATTTAAATTTTATAAAAATCATCATAAATAATTAGTAAAAAAGTAATTTAAAATTCAGGTATCAATGCCTCATACGAAATATTCAATTGTCTGCTATTCGATACTTAATCAGTGTGAGGTTGCTAGTAATATGGCTAGATATGATGGAATCGAATTTGGTCTCAGGTCAAAAGAAAAGGGTAACAGAAAAAATTCATATGTTACCACTAGATATTCTGGATTTAATGAAGTTGTTCGTAGTAGAATAATAGCAGGAAATTTTTTCTTATTGTCTAGGTGAACAAAACTTAATTTTATAATATTTTAATTTATATTTGAAAAAAAGGTTTTTTATTATTCATTATTTAATTTAAATTTTAGCAATTCGAATAAATATTATGAAAAAGCTTTAAAAGTTAGAAGACTCATTGCTGATGATTTTAATAACGCTTGGAGAAAAGGTATAAATATTTTGCTAACGCCTACCACATTAACAGATGCTCCTAAATATTCGGAATATATTAAAAAGGATGAAAGAGAACAGTCAGCAATACAAGATTATTGCACTCAACCAGCTAATATGGCAGGTATGTACAATTAATTGTCAATTTATATTTTTGCCCTATTGCTAAACAATGAATTTTTATCCCGTTTGAAAAATATTAAAAACTTTAATTTTTGATAGGTTGTCCCGCGATATCCATCCCTATTGAATTGTCAAAAAAAGGTTTTCCAATAAGTTTACAATTAATGGCCCCCAAATTTGAAGAAAAGACTTTACTAGGATGCGCTTTATATATAGAAAATGCTGTTAAGTTTTCCCAATTAAGAAATAAATGGATTTCGTAAAATAAAATAAAAAAAACTAATTAAAATACAAAAAAAAATTTTTATTTATTATTTAAACTTAACTTAAGTAGTAGTACTGATCTAAAGCAAATAATAATCACAGTTTTAAAAATATGAATGAACAATGAAAGTAAATTAAATTAAAACTGATAAATTCGGTGGCTCTTAAGGAACATTTAATTTTTTTAAATTACTTGGATTTTAAAAAATAAAAAAAATACCAAGAATAATTTAATATTGAAAAAAATTTAAGTAATTTTTTAACAATACAATAATAAATTACAAAAATAACACTCTTAAATTAAATTTATTTTTGACGAAAGACTACTCGGTTTAAAAAAAAAAAAAATAACAAGTAACTGTTCTAACTGCATATTATTAAAACTTATGCACAAGAAATATTTCATTATAAAAAAATGATATCAAAAAACTTAAAAAAATACATAGATAAAAAATTTAAAAAAGTACTTAAAAAATCTTAGAATAATACAAAACATAAATTATTGAGATCAATTATATAACAATAAAAAACTTTGTTTATACAAAACTTTTAATACTTTGAATTGCACTTATTTAATTTTTTTTTTTTTTTTTTTTTCGAATCTATAAAATTTTCAACACTTATATTTGATAAAAAATATAAACTCTAAATTAAATATTTTACTCAGATTAAATTAAAAGCAATTAATTTTTAAAAAAAATACATACTCAACAGTACGGTTAGGAATATATAAAAATTTCTCCTTCATTTTGCATGAAATAAAAATCAAATAATTTACTTTTTCTTAGTTATAACTGAAAGCATTTTCTTCCATCAAAAAAAAAATTTTTTTAACTTTTTAATGTGTTAAACTATAATAATGTTACATTTCCAAGATTTTCACGCATCACGATATCCATTACCACTTGAAAAACAACTCTAACATTTGATGTGTCTGTTGCAGTGCAATAATGAGAGTAAATCACTTTATTTGCATCAAAATTTTGTAGTGAAAATTTGTGCTGTATAAATAAGGCTGCACTATCAACATCATAATCTTTTCCTAAAAAAAAAAAAAAAAAAAAAAATTGCATTAGGTCCTTTACAATCCTCCTCGTCCTAACAATCTTAGTAGTCGTTTTAAAATGCATTATTTGAATTTTTTTTCCTACCTGTGTATTCAGGAAAATAATGTCTTAAATGTCTTCCAGAATATAAAATTTTTTCCCTAAACAAATCAAGCTTGTTCAAAAATAAAACAAAGCTAGATTCCTTAAAAAACCTATTGTTTACTATTTGAGAAAATAAATTCAAACTTTCTTCTAATCTATTAACACTAGGATCTTCTAACAATGTCATATCATAACCACTAAGAGATACTACAAATAAAACAGCCTTAACATTTTCAAAACAATAAATCCATTTCCTTCTTTGAGATCTTTGTCCACCAACATCCAACATTGTGATGACAACATCATTTATGCAAAAATTAGTTTCTAAAATTCCATTTGTTCTAACTCTTGCTCTTAAGACATCAGTAGCTGTTGGTGTGTATTTTTCACAACAAATTCTTTCCATGTTTTCAAATAAACTAAAAACAATTTCTTGGTGAGAATTGAATTTTAAAACATTTAAACCATGATAAATGTCAATTTTATTAAAGATAAAACTTTTATAAAATGTATTGTTAAAAACTTACTATAATGCTGAATCATTTAACTGAAATTCATACCCTCTGGCAACAGCTAATTTAACACCCTTATCATTCCACAAAGTCTGAAGGGCTTCTGATACAGAGGGTAGCATTTGAAAGTCAGCATTAAAGCAAGTATCATTGGAAAGTATAGTTTGTGCATAAATTTTATTTTTGGCTGATTCTAAATTAATTCTTAACAATCCCATTCCACTTAAAACATATTTCATAGAAGCCACTAAATTATCCATAACTGTGGGTCTAAAACTAAGTAATTCTTCTTTAGCAAAACCATCACTGTGAATAATTTTCATTTGTTTAACTAAAGTACTTTTTCCACTTTCTCCTGCACCTAAAAAAAAAAAAAATAATTAACGGTAATGTTTTAAAAAGTAAATATTTAAAAAAAAAAAACTAAAAATTCATATGTTACTATTAAACTGAAAATATTTTGAATTTATAAAGTAAACTATAAAAAATTTGTTTGTATACAAAGAAGCATGCAACATGCAAGCTCACCTAAGAGTAAAATTTTAATGTGATGATTTTCTTGTTTAGCTAAAGCAGCCAGCTGCCGATCTATTTCCTCGCTTCTGCGGCGAGCTGCCGCTTCTTCCCGATTAAGAGTCAAACATCCACCCATTCCATTTTATATCTAAAATTACTTGTAAAAACATATCAGCGATGTAAACAGAACCACAATGACGCTAATTTGCGTGAGACCACAAGTACGTTCAGAAACCCAACTTTCTTAAGAACGTAACTTTAGCAATAACTATAGCAGTGAGTTTTTTAGTATTACTTGAAAACAGTCTAAAAAATTAAAATACAGTTTTCAAATATTACAACTTAGTTTTAAACAAAAGCAAAGAATGACGGCCCACGATCAGATGAAAGCAATGCTTGATCAATTAATGGGAACCGGGAGAAATGGTAAATATTTCTTAATTTGTTTTTTTCCACTTAGTTACTTTTAATCCATTGATTGTTTCATATATGATGCAAAATGGTGGCCAGTGAGGCCTCATGAATAGGTGTTTAATGATCCTAATTTTGTTTCGAAATATACATTCTTACTTTAAAATAATTCAGTAATTCTTCTAATTTTTTATTTTTACTACTGCGATACGAAACAACATCCATTTAGTTTATTTAGATTTTTTCATAAATAAATGTAAACGTCATTTCGTATTCCGAACTTATAAAATCAATTATTGCTCTTCTTACTTGGAAATAAAAAAAAAAAAAAGCGATTTTTCGAAAAATATTTTTTATTTTGTTACTCAATATAGAATATTTTGGATTTTAGGTGAAAATAACAGATATCATGTCAAATTTACGGACGCAAAAGTTTGTAAAAGTTTTTTACTCAACTGCTGCCCACATGAAATTCTGGCTTCTACAGTAAGTACAGTTTATTTTAATAGATATCATTTTTAAAAAAAAGTAAATATAATATTACCTAAATCAAATGTACTTAGTGTTATTTAAATAAAATCACCCTGCATTTTTGCATTTATTATTAAGTAATAATGCTAAAAAAAAAAGTTTTACAGTATTATAAGTCACGAATTCTTAGGTGTGAATTTTCATTATAAGTTTAAAATAAATTTCAAAGGCATTTAATAATTTATGTTGAGCGTCATGAAAATATAGTTTTTGATAATGTAAAAATTATTTTTGCAAAACAGCCCATTTTTAATATTATTATTCTTCTCAGTTTTTTTTTTTTTTAAATTCATTGCATAGGTCTCTGTTTCTGTATGAGTAAATTTTATTCTTCTCATAATGTTGTTTAATATTCGATTTAAAATTTCTAAACATCTTATTATCCATTATTCCTTAAAATCAATTTCATTTAAAAATATGAGATTGCCTTTTTTTGATTAAACAAAAACTAATTAGATCAACATTACAGTTCTTTTCAGAGTTTGATTGAGCTGTGAATAAGGGTTAGGATGTTCTGTGAGTACTCCCTTAATATTAAAAACTCCATTTTTTTCTTTTCCAGCTGCAGGGCTAGTTTGAACACAGAAAACTAAAATTTATCAAACTTTTGTCTGATTTTATGTCAAATTTAAAAAAACCAAAATTTTGTTTTTACAATTTGTTTTTTTTTTTAAAAAAAAAATAAAAAGCCTTTAAAGCTTTTTTTATTCGTTGGCATGAAATCAGATATTGAAGTAATTTGTTAACTAAATTAATATTAACCATGAACAACATGTCATTTTTGCTTAATATTGCAAAGACGAACTTTTTTTTCTCTCTGAAATTTTTTTTTTTTTTTTTTTTTTTTATAGATGCTTAACTAATATTTTGTTGGCTGTTTTTTTTTTTTTAGTCCAACATAAAAGGCTAAAAAGTATTTAAATTTAATGTTCGTCTGAGCAAAAAAAAAAAAATATTTTTTTTTGATGATTAAAAGCCATTTATGTATAAAATTTATGTAGAAAATACATAATTTTATGTTAATAAAGAACTGTTAAATATTAAGCATTTTAAAAATATATGAATAAATGGTTTTTAATCATATTGTTAACGTTACTTCATTCATACTCTGCAAATAATTTTGTTAAGCTGTGATCATTGAAAATGGCAGTTAAGGGTAAAGTACTGCAATATTAATCGAAGCTGCCATGTCAAGTTAATTTTTTCTTTTTATGCTGCATTATTTTTGAGCATTTAAACAATTCAAGTTTTTATAAAAAAGTAATTTTGATTGAGAGATATTGATTTATAAATTTTTTTCATCATTTAAAAATTAAATTTTCAAATGAGCATAAAGAAAAAATTAACTAGATTTTTTGTTTTGTGATCGATCACCTATTCTATAATTTTCATGTTTGTACCAAACTTTTTTTTTGGGTAAGTATTTTAAAATAATTAAATAAAGAGAAAAAAAAAAAAAAAAAAAAAAAAAATCAATTGCAAACTTTTATAGTTTTGAATTAGTTATTCACGGTATTCTCCAATAGAGGCAAAGAACAACAATTGTTTTGGGTATGTGTTTTTATTTTTTAACCGGCAAGGAATCAAATTCCCACGGGCGAATCAAAATGGGTAAAAAAATATTTAAAAAAAAATAAAAATAAAAAAAATAATAATAATAATAATAATTATAACTAAGAAATTAAATTATAAAATATGTGTTTAATAAGATTGAGTTAAACATTTTGAGAAAAAAAAAAAAAAAAAAAAAAAAATTTTTTCCCCCCTTTTCAATTGTTTTCCCTTGAATTAAATAAAACATCCGCCCCACCAGTATGCGGATCCGCCAGAATCTTCTTGTCACGAATGGAGGGGAGTCCGGTTGGAGTTGGATCAAGATTCTGTCTCCTGTAAGTCTTGAAAAAAAATTTATATTTATGGTGGGGTTTTCATTTTCTTTCTCATTTACTTTGATAATTGTTAGTTTTTCCTAACCTTATAAGAATGTTTTTGTAATTTTTAGTCATAAATGAAAAAAAAAAAAAAAAAAAAAAAAAAAAAGTATGCTTTAAACTAAGACTTATATTCTTGTTGAATTAATTATAATTTGATCCATATTTTTGAACATGAGTAAACATATTTATTAAAATAATATATATTTATCCGAGAAAAATTAAAATTTTTATACTTCAACTGATATTATTTTATAAGTTTTTTTTCTTTTTATTAAATATTACAAATAGCATGAAATTTTATTATTTTTTTTTTTTGGTTAATTTTAAGGACGTAGAATAAAGAAAGAAAGATAGATAGATAGATAGGCATCAGGATTTCTACTTTAATTTAAAAAAAGCCTTATAAGACTATTAAGATTAAGGAATAAAAAAAAAAAAAAATATTTATAAATCAAATCAATTATATTGGAAAAAAAAAAAAAAAAAGGGTTACCACCATTTTTATTCGTATCGAAAATTATTTAAAAAAATTTTTGATTGTTTTCTTTTATTGTTTTTTTTTTTTTTTTTTTTTTTTTACCTTTTATGTTTTGAAAACCTTTTTTTTGTTGAGTTTGAAAAAAATAAAAAAATATTAATTAAAGTTTTTAAAAAAAATCTCTGTATTGAAACAAATGAAAAAAAAAAAAAAAAAAAAAAATGTTTTGTTTAAATCATTTATAATATCAATAAAAAAAGAAATTTTTGTGGGAAAAAAAAATATGTTTGAATGAAATAAGTTAAACAACCGATTTTGATTGAAAATTGAAATAATATATGTTTGTTACATAACTGTATTTTTTTTTTTTTCTTCGTTAAAAACCGATGAAAATAAAAGTATTTTAGACATTTAATTTGACATTTTTGCATTTAATAACATTTAATTATATTTAAAAATTATTAATTAAAAGTGTGTAAAACTTTTATTGTATTATTATTTTCAGAAGTCATATTCATAATTAGGTATGATTATTTTAAAATGATAATCAATTCAGGTTTCTTTTTTCAGCGGATGGATTTAGGAGATTGTCAAAAAATTCACGATCTAGCTCTCCGTGCTGATTATGAACAAGCAGCCAAAACTCGGGATTATCATTATGATATAACGGTATGTTGAGTTTTTTAATTGAAAATTGTTTTTTATGCATTACGTACATATTGAAATAAATTTTTTTTTTTTTCTCTCTCTCTCTCTCTCTCTAAGGCAATGGAACATTTACAATCTTTTATTGGGGATTGCGATCGTCGAACAGAACAAGCAAAGCAACGTCTCGCGGAGACACAAGAAGAATTGTCTGCCGAAGTTGCTCAAAAAGCCAACAAAGTTCACGAATTAGCCGAGCAAATTGGTGAGAAACTTGCTCGCGCAGAACAGCTTGGAGCTGAAGGGCTAGTGGAAGAAAGTATGAAATTGATGGGAGAATTGGAAGATCTTCGTAAAAAAAAGGCTTTAGCGGAGCAAGAATACAGGAACTCGATGCCGGCGAGTAGTTATCAACAGCAAAAGTTGAGGGTGTGCGAAGTTTGCTCTGCTTATTTGGGAATTCACGACAATGACAAACGATTGGCCGATCACTTTGGTGGAAAACTTCATTTAGGATTTATAAAAATTAGAGAAAAGTTAGCAGAGCTCGAAAAAGCAGTAGAAGCCCGAAGAAATCAAAGAAGCGATAGGAGTCGCGAGAGAGATAGAGATGAAAGACAAAAGGAAAGGTAATTAAGTTTATTTTTAATTTGCGAGGGCTTTTATCTCGTGTTCGTTTGTAATTATTATTATTTTTTTTTGTATGACAGAGATAGGAGAGATAGAGATGATAAAAGAGAAAGAGACAGAGATAGATCCAGTCGCGATCGTTCCAGTCGGGATAGAGATCGACATAGGGATCGGAGTCGACACGAACGTTCGACTTCTAGATCTCATAGACGTTCAAGAAGTGATAGTCGAGACAGGAGTAGTCGATCATCTCGATCTCACAGATCCAGATCAAGGGAAAGGCGTAGAGATAGGGATTCGGATCGTAAAAGGAAACTGGAGCGGTAGGTTTATCTTTTTTTTTTTTTTTTTTTTTTTTTAAAGATTATTTACATAGATTTTTAACTTGTACACGTTTATTATTTATTTTTGGTTTTTTTTTTGCTTTATTTTTTTTTTTGTGTAAATTTGCAAATAAATAAATTGACTTTAACCGTTGCACTATTATTGTAATAATTGAAGATAATCCAACTACAGGGAAAATGGAGATTCCAGGATTTACATGAATGATGATGATGATAATAATATAGATGGGAAAAGAATAAACGAATTGACTCGAATATGTGAAACAGATGAACATTCTCAACTGGATCTTCAAGATATGGATGAATCCAATGATTAAAAAAAAAAAAAACCAGTACAAGACCCAATTATTACAATTGAAGTTTTTTTTTTTTTTTTTTTCATTTGCATGTATATATGAATTTAAAAAAAAGAAATCTTATAAAAAAAATTACTTTAATTTTAATTGTTAATATTTGTTTGAAAAAGTTTTCAATAATTTTTTATATGTAATTAATATAAATATTGGGTCTCTGTAGGTTGTAGGAAATTTATTATAAATTACAAATACATATTTTTAAATTTAAAGTTCACTTTAATTTACAAAAAAAAATCAATTCTTTTCATAATTTTTGTTTTTTAATGTCTCGTGTTAATGGCGAATGCTTAACAAATTTAAGAAAAAAAAATGTTCAGGATGTTCAAATTGACGGAAAACATTTTGTTGTTGAAGGAAAAGTAAAAGAAAATTTTTTAAAGTCCTTTAGTTAAACTAAAAAAAAGTATAGATAAATTATTTTTAAAAAAATGATCTCTAAAAGTCATCATCATCATCATCATCATAATTGGAAATTAAATATTAATATATTTTTTTTAATAATTTAATATAAAATAATTTTTGTTTCCTTTAAATAAAAATAAAAAAATTTTTTACAAAGACTGAATTAAAAAAAAAAAAAAAAAAAGACATCATAATTTTACAGACACACACACATGAATATTTTTACGACCTGATTTATTATTATTATTATTATTATTATTATTATTCAATTAAAAAGATTTTATTTATTTATTTATTTTATTTTCTTTCAAAATTATTAATAATAAATATATAAAAATCGTTTTTATGCAATTTTTCTATGTATGTATGTGAGATGATAGATTTATTTGAAGAAAATAAATTAATGTAAAAATAAATAAATAATAATTTTTTTTTTTTTAGGTATAATTTACAACATGGATATGGATAATGAATTTTTTTTATTAAACAAGTAAATTATTGTTTTAATTTTTTTAAGAGAACGTTTATTTATTTATTTATTTTTCATTCAGTTTCATACAAAAAAAAAAAAAAAAATGAAGAACGTGAATGAAAAAAAAAAAAAATTTTTTTTTAAACAAAAAGTTTTTTTGCTTACATGCAGATAAGAAAAGTGTGAAGGTTATTTAATTTCTTTTTATTTATTCATATGATTTATTATTATTATCATTTTAAATGATTTATTAATTTTCATATGCAGAGGGTTTTTAAATTATTATTTTCTCGCAAATAATAAATATAATGAATTTTTTTTCGTAAAGTTCGTCCATAAAGTTATTAATGCAATTTTTTTAAAAAATATTTTAATATAAATGAAAATTAATTTTCTTTTGCTTTTCAATTATTTTTATTAATAATTTTATGAGTTAATTAACATTTTAAAAAAATTTATTTATTATTTTATTCAAAAATTGCAATAAAGCATATCGTGAAAAAAAAAAAAAAAAATTTTATTTAAACAAAAATTACAAAAACAACAACAAACAATGTTTTCTTTCTTACGCGAGCGTTTTTCTTTTTTTTTTCTTTTAGAAATGTTAATCGAATCATTAATTAATTAATTAATTTATTTTTTTAACTTTTTTTTAAACAAATTAGAATACCAAAAAAAAAAAAAAAAATTAATTCTAATTGAACAAATAATAATAATAATTAAATGAACAATCAGGTTCTTAATTTAATTTTTTTTATTTTTAAATTGTCTTTAAATAAAATAAAAATAATAATTATTATTATTATCGTACGTAAATGTCGCATTTAAATCCAATAAATAAATCTATTAATATTTCAATAGCTGATGATAATAATAAGTGTAATATTATTATTATTAATAATTATTTAAATTAAAATCGTTTAATTACATGTTTATGTAATTTCCAATGAAAAATTTAAAATTTTCTTTAAAAAAAATTTTTTTTTTTTTATTGGTCGCGTGTATCAATAATAATTTTATATTTAAATAAACAAAAACAAATTAATTTTTATTTTTATTTTTGACAAATACATAAATAAATAAATAAATAAAAATTTTTTTTACCCTAAAATTTAAAAAAAAATTCGGTTCATTTATAAATAAAACATAATAAAATAAAATAAAAAAAAAAAAAACATTAAATATTAAATAAATAAATTGTGCCAAAAAAAAAAAAATTCTTAGGCGCGTTTTAAATTATTATTAATTTAATTATTAATAAAATAATTTAACTTAATTAATAATAAAAATAATTATATAAAAAATTATTTTAAAAAAAAAACATGGCTAACCATCAAATATTAATATTTTTTTTTTTTTAATATAATTAACATCGTAAATTGAATTATTTGTTAGGAAAAATTTTTTAATGTTAATTTAATTTTGAATTTTTAAATTTTTTTTACTAATTATTATTATTATTAATAAATATTAAAAAAAAAAAATGTTTTTTTTAAATAAAAATTATGCTACGTAAAAATGGCCTGTGATTATAATTACCGTTATGCCATTATCCGATTGAATTGTTTTGGCTTGTAAACTTGGGATTACGAAGAGTTGTATTTAAGCCTAACCGGTATTTCGTCATTGTCGAAACGAATAATAATAATAATAATATATATATTTTTTTTATATTAAATAATAATAATAGAAAATGAAATTGATTGTTGTTGTTGTTGTTATTTGAAAATGGCATTTTTTTTTAATTTTATTTATTATTTTATTTAATAAATTAAAAAAAAATGTAATTATTAAGAATTATCTCATGTATAAGGGGAGGCGGGGGCGCTGCATAAGATTTGTTAATGTTTTTCTTTTTAAATAAAATACAGTAATAAGAGTTTTTTAAATTATTATTATTATTATTATTATTATTATTATTATTATTATTTTTTTTTTTTTTTATATAAGAAATTCGAAAAATTCGTGCAAACGTACAATAAAATAATCGTTCTTGCTGAACTTTTTATTAATTTCCCGGGTTTCAATAAAGAGATGCACACCCAATTCAACGCCGAGTTGCAGCAACGTAAAAGAAACGTAAGTTGATTTATTTGACTATTAAAAACTAATATAATATGTGAGTCTTTTTAACAACGTTATTCGGCCACGTATAGCGGATCAATAAAATAATTAAATTTAACAATTATTCGTGGGTAATAATAATAAATAAATAAAGAATAAAATATTTTTTAAATAATATAATTAATTGGAATTAGTTTTTTATTTAAAAAAAAATTTTTTGTTTAAAAAAAAAGTAAAATTTTTTTATATACGGACGCCAGCTCGACGGTTTAAAGAGCCTGAGCATTTTGATTGGTTGAATTTCTGTGAAAATAGAACTGTGGTCATGGCTTCTTAATCGGCCATGATAACGCGAGTTCGCGAAGTTTTTTAATTAAAAGCATTTTAAAAGTATTTTTAAGGTATTTATTATGTTTAAAAAAGCTCTTTGTGGTTTTCTCTCTGGTATGTGATAAAATATTTATAATGGTAAGCAGTGTGGTAATACTTTTTTAAGAGTGTAATCAATCTGTTGATTTCTCAATTTTTATTTCTCCATTTAAATGAATTTTATTTTACACAAAGTAACAATATTTAAAAAAAAAGGTGGTGTTAAAACCTATGCGATTCCTAAATTCTTATTTAAGTATCTTAATAAAGAAATATTCATACTTTTATAACACTCTAAAAAAAAAATTAGCGTTTCATCTTTGGGTCGGAGCTCTTTATTTGTCAGTGAACTCCGCCATATTTGGCCTATTCTATTCTATTGTATTTGGGTCCGAAACAATAATTTAATTTGCGTTTATAATATTTTTTATGTTATTTATTTCGATAAAAAAAATAATTTTTAATCGTATTAAGTATACAAATGTCAACTTAAATTTTACTAAAATAATTGATTAAATATAATAGCCAAAGTTACGTTTTGTTTTGTAATTTTTTTTTTTTTTGCATAGGTTTTATTTTTACCTTGGAGCGTAAACAGTTTGAGTTCAATTTTTGTGTCTTAATAATTAAAGTAAAGGCATTAACTAATTTTTATTGTTACAATTTTTAAAACTTTTTTTTTTTTTTTTTTTTTTCTTTAAAAAAACAAATTTGTTTATTGCAATACATTCTTAATGAGTTAGTGAATATTTATTATTTGTTTAAATGCTAAATGCAGCATTTTAATAATTGGTAAAAGTTAATAAAAAATTTTAAAGAAAAAATTTTTTATTTAGATTATGCCTCAGTGATTTTTATCTAATAACATTGTGGGCAGGTGTTTTACCCATTTGTGCAAGTTTTTATCCTGAATACGCTTTGTTTATTCAATATCAACTATAGTTCAAATATTAAGACTAAAATTTAGTTATATTAGTTAGTAAGAAATGAAACTTAGTCCAATAAAAGGTTTTGGATTGTGCATCATGTCGAAATGCCTTAATTCTGCTAAACCAAATATAGTATTGACTGAAGATGTTAATCATTCCATCGAGAATGAAAATCATTCCAAAGAGAATGAAGAATTAATACCAAAACAAAGCTCAAATCGCTCAAATAATAACGATATGAGAGATAATACTCAAATGAAGTTGCAATATTACTCTCCCATGGTTTATGCTACCAGCATAGAATGTGATGGACCTGCTTCAAATATAAGGTAAGAAACTTTAATTTCATTTTTTTTTTTTTTTTTTTTTTTTTTACTTGCAAATTTAAATATAAAATTTAATATTTTTAAAATTAATTAGATTATTATTGGTGTTTGGTTGTTATTTTTAAACTAAAGATTTTGTTTTTTTGCTTTATTACATTGACATTTGGTTGTTTTATGAATTTTTTAATAGTTATATTACATTATGAAGTTAAAAATTTTATTTTTATTTTGTAATTATAAAAAATTTTGCAACACGAAAAAAAAAAAAGGGTCTCGTTATAAATTTATAGATGGGGTATTCCAAAAGGTCTTGGTCTTCGAGGTGGAGGAGAGAACTCTTTGAATACAGGAACATCTGGATGGGGTACCCCAGCAGCATCAGGAGGTTCTAGCTGGGGCGGTAATCCTCCAGGTCCGCCTCAAGGTCAATGGGGTGCCAACAGGCCTCCTAACCAATCTAATACCAATGCTACCCAACAGCAGGGTTAGTCAATTTAATAAAATGAAATTATCTTATAATAAAGCAGTTATTTTTATTTAACTAATAATTTTCAAGTTTGATTTTTTCATTAACATTATTTTTTAAAATTTGCTCGATTATAGGTACAGATTTTAATCAGAACAAAACACAAAATAGTGGACAACAACCTGGGCCTTCACAAAATCAAAGCAATGCTCAACAATCACAGCAACAGGGTGGTAACAATAGTCAACAACAATCCTCTTCTCAAGGGCAGAATCAATCTGGAAATCCTCCCAATACTAGTTGGGCTCAAGCTGCTGCAAAGGGGTTACCAAATTCTAATCAAAGCCAAAATGCTGCTCAAAGTAGCGCTACTAAACAATTAGAACAACTAAATAATATGAGAGAAGCTCTTTTCAGCCAAGATGGTTGGGGAGGCGTAAGTATTTATTTATTTTTTAATAACTGAATAAGAGAAATCTGCAAATTAATTTGGTTTAAGTTTACTGAACTTAATTTGAAGAGATTTTTAAAATTTATTTTTCAAATTTTTTCTATAAAGCAACATGTCAATCAAGAAACTAATTGGGAAACTCCTGGTTCTCCTGAGCAAGGAGTAAAGAGTGATTCTCAAGGAAACAGTGGAAATGCCTCGGGTGTTTCAGCACCAATGTGGAAACCAAATATTAACAATGGTACAGATTTGTGGGAAGCTAATTTAAGAAACGGTGGTCAACCTCCTGCTCAGCCACAAAATAAAACTCCTTGGAACCACACACCTTCAACTAATTTGGGTTAGATTTTTATCAAATTTAAGAGTTTTTATATATAAATTATATTAAATTTTACTAAAAACTTTGTTTTTGTGTTTTAGGAGGAACTTGGGGAGAAGAAGATGAAACAAATGATTCCTCTAATGTTTGGACTGGCGTTCCACCTAATAACACTAATAATTCTTGGTCAGGGCCCAATAATACTAATAATTGGCCCTCTGCTCCCGAGAAAAAGGCTGAGTGGACTGCTAATAGCACTTCTGGTGCCACCGGTCCAGCGTGGGGTGATCCGAGAAATGTTGCAATTGATCCCAGGGAAATGAATCGAGAAATGCGTAAGTTTAATTTCTATTATACTGTAAATTAACATGTGATTGTTTTTGTTTTTTAATTTCTGCCCAAAAAAAATACTTTTTAATTTGAAACCAATTAATTTTTTTATGATAGCTGGTGGTGTAATGAGAGGAGATCCTCGAGGAGTTTCAGGAAGACTTAACAATACATCAGAAATGTGGGCTATGCAACAGCAGCACCAAACACAACAACCTCAACAACCACAACATCCTCCGAATAAAATGGGACCTAGCGTGCCACCAACTGGTGAGCTTTTTTTTTTTTTTTTTTTTGATTTTGCCTCTCAAAATTAATTTTTAAATTTAATTTTCTTTAATTATTTTCTCTAAATTATTCAGGTACAAATCAATGGTCGGGTAATTTACCAAAAGAATTGACTGGTATGCCTGGAAATCCTCCAAAACCTACAGCTGGGAGACATCTCTCCTGCTCAAAGACGAAATATTCCTAACTATGACGATGGAACATCTTTATGGGGCCAACAGCAAGCACGTACAGGAATGCAACTCAAGGAGGTAGTTTGTAAAATTTAATTTATTTTCGTACAGTAAACCATCATCAAATTTCACTGCTTTATTACTTTTTTGATTTAATGCAAAAAAATAAATCTTTAGCAGCTCCTAATAAAAATTTGTCACATTGGAAAGACTTACCCGCTGGTAGTATGGGCCGAGGAAACATGCCTTGCCCTCCTGGAATGCCACAAAACAGAATTCCTGGAGCTGGTAACAATATGAAACCTGACAATCCCGTTTGGGGTCAACCAGCACGAAATGGAGCTTGGGACAGTCATGATGCAGGCCCCCCTGTTGGTAAGTTCTAAATATTATAACATTTAAGTAAGTTTTCAAATTAAATGAATGAAATTAAAATGTAATTTATACTGCAGGAGCTAATTGGGGAGAAGAAGGAAAAGGTCCTAACGGAAATTGGGTTGGAGAACAACCTTTGACTTCTCCTTCTTGGGCAGGAGGTCCTAAACCTAATAAAGCGCCAGGTTGGACTGAAGATTTGATAGATTCATCCTGGGTTCATCAATCGATGCAAAGACAGCAAATGCCGAAACAATTTTCGAAAGATTTGATTTGGGCTAGTAAGCCATTTAAAATGCTTTCTGAAATGAATTTTAAGGTGAGTAGTAAATACTTTTTAAATTTAAAAAAATGACAGTAGAACTTTGATTTCAAATTTGTAATTGCAAATCAATTTTTTTTTTTTTTTTTCTGTAGAAGGAAGACGTCGAAAACGCTTTGAGAACTGCAAATATGAGTGTTCAAGATGCTTTTGAAATTCTTACCGCTACTTCTAGAATGCCAGAAGCGTGGAACAGGAGGCAGGACGAACATTCTTTTGATCAAGCTAATGCATCTTTTTCAAGGGGTTTTAATCCCAGTCAACAAGTATCTTTCCCTCCAGTAATTTATTTTTTTTTTTTTTTTACTCCAGCTTTCATTAATTACACATTTTTTAAAAAAAAAAAAATTTTATTCAATTCTTATCCTTATTGTAGGGTGGTCCAGGAAGTGTTGCAAATAATCCTGCCGCTGCAGGCTTGCTCA